GGGAGGGGGACAGGTTTGCATCTTGAACAAAATACACAGATAAATAATAAACTTAGATGTTTCATCTGCTTTGAAAAATTTGACAGCATTTATCATTGGAAAATTTTCATGTGACAAGTTATAAAACTCTTTCTAAAGGATAATTCTGGCTAAACAATAAATTTCTTTTTTTATACTCATTCCTGTTTTGAGGAACACAGAACTTTGTCAAACGACAATCAAAAAATCTACGGTGAAAAAATCAGCATTTGTCTATCAATTCTCAATATTCGCTACAGTTTATTTTGGTCGATCTGTACATTTTATAAAACATCACTGAGTAATGTCACTCGTGAAATAATTGTTAAAAAAAGGAACAGCTACATAAGGATAATTTCCTTGATTTGCTTGCAAAATATATCAAAATATATTTTTAAATATCAAAAAATATTCAATATTTAATGACATGGTCAAACTCAAATATCTTACTCATACCGGCTTACAAAAAATAAACCACCAAAAAAACCCCAAAACTACCCCCATCCAAAGAAACAAAAAACCAACATCCCATCCACAAAACAAAACCATACCACATCCATGCATGTAATGCATACAAGTAACCACAGATTTCAAAATATGTAAATTTGCTGAAATTCGATCAATAATTTCTTCTTACTTATTGTCATGATTCCCATCACTTGCAATGAAACTGGACAAATACAGAGAACAGTCTTGTGCAGTTTACAGAACAACCTCTTTTGGTTTCGTTGTTTGTACAAATATTATTTTACTTAACCCTTTGCAAGTCAGGGTTAAGCTACACTACCTCAGGTATCAGTACAAAATAGTATTAAAGAAAAGGATTTTTTTATAAAATGTATTGTTGGGTTTTGCCCTACACTGACACTACTCTTTAGAACTGTATACTCAGTGTTGTCCAGCAGCTTGTGACAAAAAATCCCACTCGCTCAGGTGGGACTCGAACCCACGACCTCTTGCTTACTCCAGTAGATATCTTAACCACCGGAACACCGAGATTGCTGGGTCGGCTGGCGGGTTCTATCGGGGGACCAGCTATTTGTTCGATTTGAAGACTAACTAGGTACATGAACCCAGTTTCCATTTAACAAAAAAGACAAAAATATTTCCCAAGTCCTGTTGCTTTGTATTACAAAATCCCCCCCCCCCCTCTCCAATATTTAAAAAAAAGTATTCTAAGAAAGTATCTTGAGGCATATCTTGTGTTGTAGATTTTTGGTGTGTTCTCAAGCATGTCAAGATTTCTTAAATCGCAAAGATGTTCATCTACATGACATTCAAACTTTTTGGACGCATGAAAAAAATTACTGCTGCTTGCCAATACATCCATTGAATTAATTCCTACAAAATCTGAGAAACAAAAAACTGGAATCAGGTCAATTAATTATTTCAGGTGAAATTCAGTACTATACATGTATATACGCAGATTGCCGTTTATCCGGCAAGCAGTCTGGCTTCTCTACAATCAAGCCATAAAGAAAGCACAATAGGTAGACAGGGTACACCTCCCCTTTGTTTGGTGCATTACATTAAATTATCATGGTCACAATTCTCCTGTGTACACTGTATATATATATCCATTTAGCATGTGTGCATAATGCTTTCTCTGCTTAATGTCGTTGTGCTATTGTGGAAACTTTAGGTGATTTTTATCGAGACAAATATAATTATTTTATGCTACTTGCAAAATAATTCTCCAAATTTTGTAACAATGAAACAAAAACTTGACAAAGCTTCTGCAATAGGCATACACCCTCAAATATCAAATTAACAGTTCAGCATATTTCTAAGCATTCAAAAACACTCTAAAAATGGAATTGGGGTTGAAATTTTTTCTAGGAAATATAAAGGAAATTGATATAAAAACCTTGTGAAAAATTTCCATGTATTTCACAATGGTGGGTTACTCTTGACCAATGCCAAATATGTAAAATGTACATGTACAATACTGTATTGGGGATAAAAATTCCCATACAAAATAATATTAAGTTGTTTTTTTTCTTTTCCTACTGTGATGCAAATAACTAAATGAAAAGAATACACAAATAATTTTGTACCTAATTGAAGATCAACTTCAGAGACTAACTCGCACATTCTACAGACTACAGCTTGCAAGTTACAGCAAGAAACAGGAATGTAGAAAATCTGAATAATTAATTCTTCCTTTTGTATTCAAAAAGTTACACATGGCCTTACAAATTCCTGTTTACATGTACAAATATATACATATTATATACACTTGGCTTCAATCTACTCTATATTATGATTGAAATTTTACATTTTCATTTACTTAATTTTTTTCCTTTAATATCATTTTCTAGTTTATTACAGACTTTTCTTGATAAAAACACAACTGAAAAAAATAGACCCTATTTGATGAAAAGTAAATTGCATCACTCCAGTAAGTTATTTTAATAAAAAAATCCTCTGCAATTCACAAGATTGTTCGCTTAAGTAGCTAAACCTCTTTTCAGATCAGGCTCCAAAGTTGAGTCCATCTTAAAGGCAATAATTTTGAAATTATTTTGTCCGGGTGTGAATTGCCACCAAAAATGGTCTCGACTGTGAGAGATTTTTGCTTTTCGTTTAATCATGTCCAACTGCTGCCTAAGTACATCTACATGTAGTGCAAAGAAAAAATTTAAAAGAGGTTACAACCTAACAAAACTCTATCTTTCCTCAATCTCCAAACTTCCCCCCTCTCAATTTTTGGAATAAAAAATTGGAGAATTCTTTATAGAAACTTCATGACCAATTTATATTGGTGAATCTAAGAAATATTCCAAGCATTTACAAAAATGGTTTCTGAAAACCGGGTGCAGTCATGTACAATCATTAGAGCGACTGCCCGTGATTCCATACAAGTTTTTTGGTCTTAATTTGTGCCATGTAACGAAGACCCTGTGCGTTCTGATGGAATGGGAAGGCAATGGTTTGTATGCCTTGGACAGGCATGAGTCAACCTTTGTGCATTCACTGTTACTACATTAAAATAATTATAAGATGGAATTTTTTTGCGTCGGGGTGATATAAATCAAATTAGGTTTTGCCCTTCACCGACGTTTTTAAACACTGTATACTCGGTGTGTTACCTCCCGAGTGAAAGTTGGAAAAAATCACTCGGGTGGGACTCGAACCCACGACCTCCTGCTTTCTAGTGCAGATGTCTTACCACTCGACCACCGAGCTAACGGGATCGGTTGACTGGTTCGAATCTGATGTACATAGCAGCGGGTACCACATAAACTATTATACATGTAAGATGGAATTTTTGCGTCGGGGTGATATAAATCAAATTAGGTTTTGCCCTTCACCGACATTTTTAAACACTGTATACTCAGTGTGTTAATATAACAAAGGACGCCCTCTGAGACACCCGAACGCATATGGTCTATTAACCAACGCTAGATATATATGAAATTGCTGTCAGGCCATACTGTGATCTGTGCAAAAATCTGAGCAAATGCTTGTGAAATGGAGCCCAAGAATTTGAAGCAAATGGACGATGAGCAGCAAGATAATGCTGATGATGATGATGATGATAATGGACTCGGAGCACTGTTACGCCCTGATCTTAATGAGGGAGTTTTGAGCGCCATTTCTTGCACGCACCCAGGTTTTGGTTCTTTCTACCCACATTCTGTGGAAAAGTGAACCACTTCGCGCATATGGCGTGGGTCTTTCAAACATGCTTTTTCTGAGTAGGGTCGCATCAAAGTGACTTGGCTACTGCTTGCAATTACACACGCGCCTATGGAAGCCGCTGCAGCCACTCCCCATAGAGCTGTGTGTTATTGCTAGCCGCAGTCAAGTAAATCAGATGCAGCCTAGCCCACACAGCGTTGTCTACAGTGCCCTGCATGGAGTCCATGTGATCAAGGATCCTCTACACAAGTATAAACGACTCATCTGAGCTTGTGTACAAAAAATGTACGGTACGGATTGTCTACATCCGTGATATGCCGCGTCTGCACATAGAACAACGCATAAAACATGTAGAACAATGTGCAGTCCTGCGTGCGTGCGCGTCTGGCACACGCATGACGCTTAAGGGCCGTATCACGCATGTAACCATGGGGAAGTCGTTTATCCTTGTGTAGAGGATCTGTGATATGATAGACGATGGGATATACACCATGTACCAAGATTTGCAGAATAACAAGCAGCAAGAGTTATTGGATGGCAACCCTTTTTCTGCATGCCACACAGCCATTAGGTTATGTCTTTTCAGTATTGTTTTTCAGAACGCACATTGAATTCTGCATGCTTTTTCTTGAAGGACTAGGATTAAAATCGTAAGTGCAAATCGGTGTTGTCTATGAATCTATCCCTTTAACAACAAAGCAAGAATTGATATATCCCATAAATTTGTTCAAACACTTGATAAAGTTGGTCGACTGTTAGCTGTCGCTATGACACAAATTTAGGCTATGCAAAAGTATAGAGGAAGTGAAATGTTCAGTATGGGAGACAGAATTCCCCTCCGATGAATGGATTGGATATTAAATGAATTTACATGCTCTCTATTGCTACCGCACTCACTGCCGTGTGCAATCATCACAAATTAACGTCATTGCAACGCATGCAAAGTTGCCAATAAACCAGCTTAGCTATTTGAAATCAAACAATTTTGGACAAATTTTATTCGAGAGTGAATTAAATACAGAGCAATGTAATCCAAGCGCATGAGTTGCCAACAGTGTCAACGTTTGGTTTTCTCTTCAGAAAATGGCCGAATTTGGGCTGAATTCCAACAACAAACCCAGTCGCAATTACAGTGGACTCTTGTTAGTACAAACTCTGTTAATACAAATTCTGGTTAAAACAAACATAAAGCCTTGGTCCCGACTGTGCATTTATGTGCACAATGAATGGGACTGATGTTCCTCTTAATACAAAATTCTGATATAACAAACAATTTGGCTAGGTCCGAACGAGTTTGTTATAACGAGACTCGACTGTACTGTCATAAATTATCTAGCCTTTTTTTGGGGGGGGGGGGGGACTGGAAAGTTTTGCTATAAATGACTGTTCACTTTAATCAGGGTTTTATGCCAAATTAAAAGTAGAACGGTATTCAATGTTGAAATCACAGTTTTCTTTTGTCTGCAGACATATTTTTGAAGTTTAAATTTTTCCCGAAATGCAATCCATTTTTTCTTCGTATGTCAACTGCCTCACCCTGTAATGAACTCACTTTCTGTTTGAAGTCACATTCCTATTACTTAAACTAAAGCAAATCATTTTTGGAATTACTGCAAACGCTCTAACCGGCCCTTGACTACAAAACAAATTCAGGAAACTGTATCCAGCCATGCAACCCAGTTTGCCAATTGAAAACTGGTGAAAGAGACGGAAGGCAAAACAGAAATGTATCGTTTTGAAATTTACCGCAGCAGTTCAGAAGTTGCACTCACTTCTTTCTTGCGATCATGCAAACGACAACATATACGTGTACACTTAAAAAGAGCTTATTTTGGCATAAGACGTAATTGAAATGTTGCTCATTTATGGTCGTCGGACTTCTAGCTACGCTTGTAAAACAAAACATATCAAAAACAAGTTGACAGGTGCCAGTTTTGTTTGTGTTCTTTGTTAGCCCACCACCTGGAATAAACGCACGGCAATACTTAACAATACCTGTTGACCTCATGACATTGAACAACAACTGAAAGATGGTAGGTGAGTTGTCTATGGAGCGTTTTCTTCCTCTTTTATGCCTGCGACGATAAATCAATGCGACAATTTTAAACAGCGTAATGATGATGAACTGTTGGCATCTTAAAATACAAAATTCAGCCGTAGGTATTTCAATTTCATGTTTGGAATTCACACACTTTGTCTTGACGGGAATTTCAGAAGGAAGATGGCGTTGTATGTCAGGTGTGAACTTGATTTGAAAGAATGAATGAGGTTGGAAGTCAACTTTTTTCAGAGCTGCCCAGTGGCCGATATGAAGCCCAATTTGCTGGGGGGGGGGGGGGGGGGCGGATGCACTTGGGTAAGGCACTCATTGGGTTTTAAATGATAAGGTAATTTCTGCCTTTCCCTGAATTCGGAGCAGGGGGCACCAGGGGGCACAGGCCTTGAGTGGGGGTCTGTGGCCCCTCCCCTCCCTACCCCGCTTAGTTCTGCGACTGCATGAAATTGCTACATGCTGCTACATGTAAGTAGGGTACTTTTGGTCTTAAACATTTTGGGGCGACTTAGACCTACTGGCTGCTAAAGGAAAATATCCAGGATGAGATTTTGATGATGATATCTTTTTTAAGGGGAGGGGAATCAAAATTTGATTCACTAATTCTTGCACAACCAAACAAAGATCAGACATTATTGGTGTCTGTAGGACTAGACGCAGTCCCTTTTCTGGACTTGGGCCTCATTGGGACAGGTGGAGGCACCTTTGGCTTGACGTGGGCTTCGTTTTTCAACTCACCCGCAAGTTGCTCTACCGCCTGTGCCGCTGCGATGTTTTCTGGAAGTTCGGGCGGGGGAATGCTGGGAGGGGGCGGGGAAACAGCAGACGGGGAACGGGGCGGGGAGCCGGGGATGTCCTCCAGAGTCCGTTGGCCAAGCGGCGAGGGGAGTGTGTCCAAATGGGAGGGGTTGGTGCTGGATCTCTTCTCGGGACGGCTTGGGATGGGTGGCGGGGCATCCTCCGATTCCCCACTGGATGGCCTCGGGGAATCGACCTCCCCGCCCAGAGAATGGGACCGGCCTGATTTCACGGGTATTGCCGGTGGGGCCTTGTCATAATCCGTCCTACGCCTGGAGGGGTGAATGGCCGTTGTGCCTCCGATGCTAGACTTCTTGGTGGGGAGGGGAGGCGGGGAGGCTTCGCCATTCTCAGGAAGCTCGTGAGGTAGAGGTCTGGCTGGCTCCAAGATGATGGTGCGAGGAACGGAAGTTTCAGTTGGCTGGGAAGGCTACAGTGGAGACAAGCCAAAAAGGGCAAACACTAAAGGGCATGCTTGAATAAAAGTACACTGTAGTTGCATTTTAAATGTTCCGTTTTTTAATTTTTTTATTTCAGGTGTATACCTACCCGTCTCACTGGCAAGGCGGGAGGAATGTTGGGATCTTCCGATGTACTTCCTGATTCCCGAGAACTTGTTGATGAGGTGCTTGCCACTGCGCAAAAATAAAAAGAACCCCAAACCATCCCAATTAGTCGTGAAGAAGCTCCGAGGCAAACAGTTCCGACTTGACTCATTGGCTGTTTTATAAAAATTACCGTGGAATTATATATCGTCAAACACACCAAAAAAGCTACAAGCCCCTAGCTTGGACAGTGAGTCATTATTTTTTTTACCAGAGCTGGATGAGTTTGGTCGTGACCCCGAGCTGTTCCGCTGGGAAGGACCTTTGTAGGTCTCCCTCAAGAGGTTGGTGACGTCGCGGTCCTTGTGTGGGGACTTAAGGAGCTTCTCCGGGAGGGGCAGGCGGGGTGAACCCAACTCAGAGATGTCTGGGGAGGGTAGGGAGGTACCTAGAGAAAGGGAAATGGGGTTAGGATGGGTCAGTCAGAAGGCGTGATGGGCACAGCTGTGGTCCAGACATTAACAAGTCTGTCGCAAGTCAATCGCAAACAAATCACAAGTGTGTCACGTGTCAGTCTCTATTGGGACGCAAGTTAAATCAAAAGCCAATCACAAGCCAATCGTGAGTCAATCACAAAACTTTCGCAAGTCAATCACAATCCAATCACAAGTCAATCACAAGCCAATCACAAGTCTGTCACATGTCTGTCACAAGTCAAACACAAATCAATCACAAATCAATCACAAGTCTGCACCAGTCAATCACAAGTCGATCACAAGCCAATCGTAAGCCAACCACAACTTAATCAATAGTCAATTACGAGACTTTCACAAGTCAATCATAAGTCAAATCACAAGTAATCAAAAGACTGTGGCAAGTCAATCACAAGCCAGTCACAACTCAATCACAAGTCGATCGAAACTCAATCACAAGTTGATCGCAACTTGATCGCAAGTCGCAAGTATGTTCTTCAAACATACTGTGACACAGCCATTCCTTTATCAGTGTTCATCACCCAGTGCTTCTGACCTGACTTGTGATTTGACTTGTGATAATTACAACTCTGACTGTCATGACTGGCCATGTTATCTCAGTGATATCCATTATCAGCACTCAGTACACCCACAGGTATGGACTCCGTGCACAAGTACCCCCTCAACGGTTACTAAGAGAGAGTTGAAGGAGACCACTAGAATTTACATGTACATTTGAACTCATTACCGACAACGCCTGACGCTCGCGCAAAGATGTAACTGGTTTGTGCATCCTTAATAAAGTCAGTTGTGCGTACTTTAGGGCATACGCGCACGAACATGCGATGTGTCTCTCCTACTGGAGGTATCGAAAGTGGTAAAACAGCACCATCTAATGTTCGGTCACAGATTCCATAGGCACCAGTGATTTAGTCAGATCCTGAGTAGCTAAGTGTACAATTTTGTTGTGTCGACAGTGTTACACATGAATCGGGCATGTGCTCACTGTCAATGCACAAGGCCCACATCAATGGAGTAACCGTCGTGCGTGCTACTGCACAAAGCAACTGCCCCGTGATGGATTATCTGAACAATAGCTAGCACAGTGCTTGAGCCATTGAAGGGGGCCTTCATGATAGAATTGACATCGTGCCGACGTTGGTCTATATTTACAGAGCTCCAAAATGAATATTGTTTTATGTGGTACTGCACTTTACTAATGAAGGACACGTAGATTAGTGCAGGATCATCCAATGCAAGACATCAACGTCAAACCCGAAGTAAAAAAGTTGAAAATTCAAGACAAACGCTAGTAGCACACTGAATTAAGACTAGCTGGTATTGGAAGCCATTTTGGGTCCTCTGTACTTACTACTTGAGCGGTCTGAGGGTAGGCTGGTGGACGAATCGGACTTCTTCAGGAAACTTGGTACAATCTTGCTAGCCCGGGAGCTGCTCTGCTAGACACAAGTTGAGGTAAACGTGAACAGACATAAACATTAAAGTCAAAAGTGCATGGGAATTTAGTAAAAAATGCAAACCGTTCTTGAGGTCAGCGGTTCCGAAATTCGTCTTTGTTGTGCTTAGTACTTACATGTATGGGCTATTCCAGCGGGAGTGTAATGTCCGTGACAGAGCCAATTAACCATGATATCTAATTAATGATTCAGAGAAATGATCCAAAACTCCTAGTCTGTTATCTCCTTGACTATGCATGTACAGGGATAAGATTTGAAAAATACATTTTCAGGCTTATTCATTGAGCTCTTAATAGCCCTGTCATGGACATAACATAATGGTGGAATTGTCAATATGTATTATGTAATGATACATTTACTTGTAAATGTACTTACAAAATGAATGCAATTTTTTTTTTATTTTTATTTAAGGTGACATTGAAAAGAGTGAGTTTTGAACCTTTCACCTTTAAAAAAACCTGTACTGGTGCTCTACTGACTAAGCTACCTTGGCTTATGTTGACAGTTTCTCCTCATTACAATGAATGAAATTCACACTTCTTGTTAAATCACATTACATTACTGTCTCCATTGCCTTAATTTACTGGCCCGTTTTTTTATGGAGCAGTACTTTAATTGTGTTTAAAATTCCCGGCGTAACTTGAAAAGTACATTAGTGATTTGAATAATACTTGTACTAAAAGAAAGCTCATGAATTGGGCTTTCATATCCTAGATTTTGAAAGTGCTACATGCAGAACTATGGTTCCGACATTTGGATTTCTTTTCTTTTTTACTCACCCTGTACAGTAAGAAACCCACTTTTGACAGCAATTTTCACCTACTTGTTGAGCATATTTCAAAAAGTCAATTTAATAGTATTGAAATATCGATCTTTAAACGTAAGTGATGAAAACATGATTGCAAAGGCATATTTTGTCTCTGAGATATGGTAGTTTAAAAATGTCATGTGCCAAACCTGTTTTTCCGTGGATGGCTTTATTCCATCCGCTTGACTGAGCTCCAGAGCTTTATTTGAAGATAAAAAACACGACACTAGACTGACACGTGGACAACAGTGATTTTGGTGACTATTCAAATTAGCATAACACTATTCTTGCGATTGTTTAAAAAAATTCACCACGTATGGTTGAAGAGCTATACTTCACGACATTATAAAAACAAACGGTTCAAATAGGTTAAGTAGGTTAAAATTCCTGTCAAAAGTGGGTTTCCTTCTTTTTGCACCACCCTGTAGTGCACAAGCTATAGTGAACTTCTACAGTTAACAAGTTATAGTAAACTAATAAAATAGTAATAGTAAACTAATAAACTAATAAAATAGTTATAGTAATCTAACAAAATAGCTTATAGTAAACTAATAAAATAGCCCCCCCAAAAGTCTCCGGTTTCTGGTATGGAGCTTGCCCAAAAAGCGGTGCGGCGACGCGGCCTTTTTTTTTTTTTACCTGTTTTTTTTTGGCTTCAAATGTCGGCCGATGACTGCAAATGGTGCCCGACTAAACTTAGTGCAAATATATGGGAGTCCAGAGAGGCCACATAAAGCTTATTCTCGATCATAACCCCATATTAAAACACGTTAAAATTGTCAAACCAGGATTCCAGTCAAACCAGTGAGTTTGGCTGTTTGGAGACATTATCTTTCATTGAAAAAAAAACCTTTTTCATTTTGCCGACGCGCATGGCTACGGCGACGCGCGCGCATACCAGAAACCGGAGACTTTTTTTTTTGGCCTTATAGTAAACTAATAAAATAGTTATCATGGTTATAGTAAAGTGAAGTGGAATGGATTGTGTACAGTGGGGTGCAAGTGGGAGTTTGTGTTGGGTGGATGGGGTTATCTACTCGGGCCTGGTCAAAATAAATGTATTTCTATCATCAATGAATGCACTTCCGACTAAGATGAAATACACTTGCTAGTAAACCTTAGAAGTAGTCAGAATCATTTATGACAAGAGAATATCAAAAGACTAAACAGGGGTGAGAACTGGAGGAAACTGAAAAATCCACAATTAGGCCAATCGGTAGAGCTAGGGTCCAGAGGGGCCCAGAGCAACACAGCATTCTATGGTACATGTATGTGTACGTGTTTGCCTAAAGGCACCCCTAAAAAAGATAACTCTTTACATGTATGTTCTATACAGGGTGGAAAAAAAAACGAAACCGAGATATTATTGCTAATTGGAACAGAAGTAGGGCACATGTGAATCAAAGGGAGATATCCTCTGTTAGGGTTGAATCTCCTCTTTAAAATGACACCCTGATGATGTCTTTACATTCACGGTTGACTGAGCAGCAACCAATTTTATGAAAGGGTCTATTTAGAGACTTGCGCCACTTCTAAATTGTCACAGAGTGAAAGGCTATGGTTGCCAATCAAGGCAGGTGGGGAAAAGAAGCGATTTCACCATGAAAAGTGGCGCAATTCTCTAAATAGACCCTTTCATAAAATTGGTCACTGCTCAGTCAACCATTAATGTAAAGACATGATCAGAGTGTCATTTTAAAGAGGAGATTCAACCCTAACAGAGGATATCTCCCTTTGATTCACATGTGCCCTACTTCTGTTCCAATTAGCAATAATATCTGGGTTTTTTTTTATCCACTCTGTATCAACTTTTATGAGTAAAAAACACCTTTGCTGTAAAAGCTAAAGAGATGCAGATTTAAAAAAAAGAGAGAGTTTTGAAAAATCCTGAAAACATAAAAAAATCCTGACAAACCAAACCCCTGAGTAAAAGAGAGGTTATGAGAACAGGTTTTAACTCTACAAGAGACATTTCAAAGAACAAACATCTAAAATTATTATGTAGATTTCATTCAATAGAAAAATCAGACACAAAAGTAAGAAAGATCAGACAAGTAGAACAACCTGACATCATGCAAAAACTTTATTAATGAAAGGAAGAAATATTTTCAAAGTGAATATTAAAAAATAAGTTACATTGGTAACATAGTAACCAGTTAGATAGAGAAGCTGACGAAGTCCTTTCTATGCTTTGTGGTTGTGCAGACACAACACTGCCGAACTCACCTTCTAAAACTATTTTCCTGCCCAAAATTTAGTCTGCTGCATGTTCACGGTTCATATAGTACATTTCCAATTATAGTAACTTGCAGTTCACTTCACACAAAATACCCATACACAATATGTACAGGATCGCCATCTAGCAATCCTGTGAAGTATTGAACTAAGGACGTGTTAAGTTTAGTAAAATCAGAAAGACCTGAAAATTAGAAGTAAGGTTTGTTCCGAGTGCAGTGAAGTTTAAAAATTTAACTTGTTGAGAGTGAATTTTGTGAGAAAAATGGTTTTGGGTTAGTACAGTGAGTTAAATATAATGTCATCATTACAAGCATCACAGCATTCCAGCCTTCTGCCATTAAAATTTACCGCATACTATAAGTAAAATGTTTTTTGCAGAACATGAAAATGCTACGTGCGGTAGAAGTAATACACTTTGCATCAGTTTTCTTGCCCCCCCCCCTTTTTTTTAGGCACACACTTTGTGCTTGTACTAGGACAGTTACGATTTTCGAAAAGAGCTGGAAATTTGTCTTTGGGTTAAAAATGGGTTAGTCTGTTTTTTTATTTAGCAGCGACCATGTTTGTTCTGTACCTTGAAGTCACATTCATATTAAAGGAAACTTTGCCGAAAAGTCAGATGCATCAAATCTGTGACAACATTTGACGCAAGCCTTTGCATGGTGTTTATCCTTAGAATATACATTACATATGTTTCTACAAAAAGGACCAAATCTGGTTGGGGGAAAAAAACCTGTTTTTTTTTTTCCTTTTTCAAATAACATTCTCCCATTTTTTCAACCCCAAAATGATTCATTTTCCAGAAACAATCGACAAACCATCACTAAAAACGAATCATTGTTGAAATTTCTCAAATCAAAATTGCAATTCCCCAAGGCAGTTTTAAAAACGGCTGAAACTGTTTGGAAAAAAAAAAAAAACCTGAAACCAGAAAAAAGGGAATAAATCTGTATTTTCCCTGTGACATGTAAAGAAACAAATACAGTCGCTGCTTAGTAATTAGAGTGCTTTCTGGAAGTGATGTTAGTATGTTGGAGGGCCATCTACCAAAGTGACTTTCTGCAGCGACAGAGACAGTTCTGACAGCAGAGCGCTCCTTGGATTTTTTTGTTTGTTTGGAGAGTTATACCTCGGTGTGCTGTCGAGTGGTCGCTATGGTAGCCCGCCCTCGTCTGATGGGTGAGTTGTCCTGGGAGGAACGTCTGTCCGCTAACCCTAGCTGCAAAGTGGTTGGGGAAGGGGGCCAGACTAAATAAGATTTGGGCTTGCCATGATGGAGGATTTTTTTTAACACTTTCAAAACCACGTTGTTGATTGACTTGGCCCTCCTCAGTATCAAATCTTCTTTTCTTGTCAAGATCACGAATGTGCAAACAATAGTCCACATGCTGAAATCTGACATTCACTCTAAGTTTGTTCCTGTCACATAATGGTGTAAAAAATTGAAGCCTTATTTTTAAACAAGACTGTCATAGCTATTTTTTTTTTTTTTTTTTAAATCTGAACTCATCCACAAAAATTGCAAACCTGTTCATCCAAATAAAATGGCACTCCATACCACAAGCCCTGCATGGATACCTCGGCCACAGTTTTCTCAAACATTTATTAATGGTCACACAATAAGTCAGCGCCACCATAAGAACAATCTGAAAATGAATATTAGGTTTTGCCCTTCACCGACGTATAAACACTGCAAACACAGTGTGTTACCGCCCAAGTGATCTGAAAATGCTCTTTCAGATGGTATAGATGAAGTATGTGCGGCAGAAATACGAAGCTGTGTTTTGAAAACCACTGGATGTACTCTTCGTTTGGGAGTTCTGTGTGGTTTCCTTGTGGTATAAACTCATTGGTACACAGCAAAGGATGGGTGTCTTGCTAGCCAAGGTTGGACGAAGTCTTCATTGCATTACGACTGACAGGAGTCCACCTGGGCTAGGTGTCTTGCCAACTCAACGTTGCATTGGTACTGAAAGAGTTACTGGGTGGTCCGATTTTTCAAAAGCCAGCATGCTCTTCAGATTGTTTTGATGATTGGTTAAGCACTTCAACCAGCCAATTAATTTTTTTAAGCGTTATAAGGGAAGTCCAAAGTCAATTTGTTTTTCCTTTGCATGCGTTCCTCCTTTCTTTCAGGTGACTGGAAGAGAAAAGTTTTTACATACATGCAAATTAAACACGGCCAATTAATACACCAATTTGGTGATGACCAAAATTAGACGCCATCGCTGCAGGTGGCACTTCACTACTAACTTAGTAGGTTGTATGTACGCACACAACAGGTTACCGAAAATACGCACTCGGCTGAAATTTGAGAAAGTGTGTGGCATGAGCGTAAGCGGGGTACCAGCGCAGTGATGGCGTCTAATCAGGGTTGCTGATTGGTCAATACTCAATATTAGCCCGCCTGCAAATTAAAACATTGAAATAACAAAAAAAAATCTTTGAAACAAAAAAAATGGATTCAGCCTGTGCAAAAGCAGCCTGCCAGTTCGCAGTCAAAACAGTCTTTGCTTTTTTGGCTTGTTTGTCATTCTGGACTACCTCGTTGTGATATTGGCGCATAGTGGCCACGGTAGCACGGCCGCGTCTCATGGCCTGCTCTCGTTCTAACGGTCTGAGCCGGTTCAGTGTGGCGTGCTGTGAAGAAGAAGGGGGCACCTTGAGCTTCCATTTGGTAAAGGAGGGGGCGAGGACGGTGACGTGCGGGGGAGTTGCCTATTAGGCCGAAGCTTTGCCAACTGACCGATGAAATATGTTCGTTTTTAAAGAGCAAAGCCTGATCAATATGCAGCACACATTAACTGGATACGTGTACCACCAGTGTTGGAGCAAAGGCTTTGTCGCCCAAGGCCAAGGCCAAGGCCAATGTTTTGATCCTCAAGGCCAAGGCTTTAACCCTCAATGCCCAGGTCAATGCCAAGGCCCTATAACTCACAAACCCCATTTCGCAGAGAAGAAAATAAATACTACCCAATTTGTTGTTTGTTTGGCACGATTTTTTTCTGAGATCACTTTAGAAGCTATAGATGTCGGGTCATTTAGATATCACAGGTCATTTTTGCAAATGTTAGTATATTAAAACTTTGAGGAATTGAACAATGGCTTTTGTACGACTAGGACCATTGACCCAAAATTCAAAACTTTTATCCCAAAATTCAAATATTTCACACCAAAATTTTGAAAAGTTTAAGGACTGCTCTATCTGAAACCACACACCCAATTTTAGCCCTGCTGTCATATTTATTCTGTACACCGAATCTTTGCCCCCTAAAAACAATCATAATGCTGCATTTTCTAAATTATCCCCTATGGCAAACAAATTCTACTTTTACTTTGAACAAAACTCTCAAATATCTCTCCGAATTCATCTGAAAAGTTATAAATGGTACTTGACATATTCTTCAAATCCCAGTTGACCATCTGCTCCCAATTATTTTCCCTCCAAAATAAAATGTCATGGTAGAAAAAACTTCGGTCAGTTGGCAAAATCTTCGTCGGGAAACAGTTCACGTAGCAGTCCCATGCAACATGCAGCCACAATGCAGATTAGATTCATGCACAGGCGAGTTAGTACACACCAAAATAAAAACACTTTCCCAAAATATAGGAAAATTTATGCCTTGAAGCAGAAATTTGCTGCAGTGACAGTTTTTTTTTTTAAGCTTTAGGATCCATGCACAGATTCATTCAAGAGCTGGAAATTAAGCCACAATGCACACAAGGAATTGCAGCTCTGCGGCCCATGCAGTCCAGTATACGTCTAAGTGATCGATACCTGGAACCTTACAAAATGAATGTTACGAAAGGGAGAACATCTCAGAGGGTCTTTCTAATCCTTCGTTTCATGAGCTTTACGAGGCGTGTGACAACACACAGTCTTGTTCCGTAGTTGTGGGGACATACACTCGTTTGTACGAGCTATTTGTGTGAACCGAAAATGCTGTGGGGACAGCAGAAAGTCCCAATAACTCGGTCCTAATTTGCCTAACAATAAAAAACGTCCCCATAACGCAGTGTAGGCCACAGCAAAGTTACAGACACACCACTCCGTGCTGACTGCCTGGAAGGTAGCCAAGATTTTTTTTCCTGGTCACCTGATATTTGCCAACAGACACAATTTTGCTGACGGGAAGAAGCTTCTGCCAACAAAAATGATAGACGGGGGTTGTCACACGCCCACGCCCACCCCCAGTGACACCTGTAGTTAAAGCAGCAGTATGGGTGGGGCCCTTTCTCGGTTCAAACACTGCCCAGGTACCCTAACTTTGAAAATGTGGAACTTCAAAAATTGAGATCAAAAGTAAAACAATCTACCTGCCTTTTCAATATACCCGCCTTTTCAATATACCCAATGCTATGTGTCCAAACCCAAGCCCAGAACTTTTGACCAAATTGTTGTCAATGAGTGATGAAGAAAGCCTTCCCCACCCCCCCCCCCCCCTCAAAGAAAAAAAAAAACCTCGATGTCCCTCAGGTGGAAATATCAACCCTAAACTTTGCTGCATTCAGGCACAAAACCAAAATGACATGCTCCATGCAGGTAGCATTAAAAAGTTTTGTTTAAAATCAACTAAAAAAAAAAAAAAAAAATTCCCTTAATCCTTTAGAGACACAATTTTCTTACGTTATTGTCCATTAAGCCAACAGTTTTGTGGCAATGGGCTTCAGCCCCTTACATGTACATGTATCAGAAATAATGCAAAAGTTATCAGCAAATGGGTCCTGAGAATTGCGACTTGAATTCAACTATAAAAGGTGATTATGCTTCCAACATTCTCCGGCATGTCCAGAGCCTTTTCCTATATCTTTGAAACCAAATCTTTAAGCCCTGAAATCTTGTAAATACATTTAAACGTTAAAATTTACAAATTTATAAAATCAGATATTCACATATAAGCCTGTTTGCTTATGTCATGGTACAACTCTCACGCTCCCCCCCAAAAGATCAAAGAAGCTTGGCATGTATTGGTTTTCCATAGCGTTAAACACGTCTTTCCTTTTTTTGTTGTTGAATTCTCAAGCTTCTCAACATTTAATTAATTCTTCCAGGGAGACGATCTTTGCAAAAAACTGTGTCTCTCTCCTCCTTTGTCAAATCTTCGAAACCAGACGCACAGTCAGACAATCGGCCTAAATTGTTTCAATTTAAGTGAATTGAAAATCGAAATGTGTGAAATGCATTCGCTATGCGCATGTAGGAGTACATGGCACAAAACAGCCGTTTGATTGTAGATCCTTACCTTGACTTCATCAAAATGGGATTGTTTTAGATGCTCCGGACAACTTTTGTTTTCCTTCTAGCTTTTAGCAGAGCTTTTTTACTTTGAATTTCTCACAGCGGAAAGTCCCCTTATTTAATTTTCAATGTTGTAGATTGTTTCAAATATGTATAATCTTCAAAATTAGTCAGTGTCTGCCACATTAAAGTGACTGATCTTTACATGTTTAAACAGTACATGAGCATCACACTAAACGTTTACCAATTTAAACAAATTGAACAGTCCACCTTTCGATTATTCCCTGGTAAAGGTCATCTCCGGGTTTACCTGAATTAAACCTGACGGTGGGACCAACACAACATACACTTATCTCCTTTTATTGGTTTGACTCCAAATTTGGGGCTCAAGAAACTCAAAACTTGAACTATCCTACTTGTGTCACTTGCTCATTCCCCACAAATACCATTATCTCCGTGCCATGCAAGTCCATGCATTGGGATACCTACCCCATACGAGTTACCTACCACAAACCACTTGCGATACTGTCAGATTGAATAAGTCCATAGGAATAACGCTTTAAAATATGTTCTTGAAAAGACCCCCCCCCCCCCCCGCCCCCACTCTCGAATGAGTACGATTTTACTGCACAACAGGCTTACAGTATTACCATAGGTGTTAAAAGTATGTGTCAAGTGAAGTTCAGATTCGTTCTCCATTGCCAGCAGTGCAAAATATTCAGTGTGTGCAACTTGTTCACACAGGACTTTGTTTAGGGTGCCACTCCACCGTCTGAGTAGCTGATACATAGAAGGGTTCTAAACACACTACCTATACTACTGAGGTCAAAGATTAAGATATCTGGGTAAAAAAATGTAATTCACAATAATCAATATCTAACTCACATATAAGAGTCAGAAAACGTATGTCATTATCCTTATGACCTTTGACACAACGCTTTAACAACGAAGGTACTGTGTTGCCCGTGTAAACATATTTTGGTATAAGGCCCCCTGCAAATCTCTTTGCTAAAGCTACTGTTTAGGTCCTCCACAATTCTATGCTGCTGCTACTGACGATAGTTGTAGCTGTAGTTCTGGACGCCTGTTTTCAGACGTCACATCTCCGGCTAATCAGAACTCAGGAAATAATCATCATCGTGTACAGTAACATTTGGGCAGACATTACAGCCTGCAATTGCACAGTTCATATATGCCTGACCACGGGTCTGTGAACTGACATGGGCATGGGGAAACCATTATTGTGGCAAAGCAAAAAACTGTTGTAAAATATACTCCTGTAACTGCCAACTATAGGAGTGTGTACCGTTAAGGTCATCTCTTGCCTACAACTGATGATGAAAAACCAATGTCTTCACATCTGCTTTGTAGACTAATTCGGCAAGCAAAACTAGAAGTCATGTTTGAGGTGGACCCAAGTACGCGAGTGCATTTTAGTAACCCCATTGGTCGATGGAGCCCGGAGTGGCAGCGTACTACCTGTGAGCACGAGCCTGGGTCCACTTCAGAAACGGCTTCTAATTTAGGTCGCCAAATTAGTCAATACATCTTGTGCCAAGTTTCAAGTAGTAACAATTGTTGTGATTATTAAAACAACCAATCAAACAGCCAGCCAAGTGTTCTAGCTCTGGGAAGCACTTACCTGTGTGGGGGACACCGGGGCGTTGCTCTCAGTAATGGAATCCAGGTAGAACCTGCTGGAACCGGTCGGCTCCTCGGAGCTGATGCGCGGCTTGCCGCTGATTTACAAGTGCAAACGAGAAAAGGAGAGAAAACTTTCACATTCGCAAGTCAGTCACAAGTTAGTCCGTTTCAAAGTCAAGTCACAAGTGTTTCAAATTAGCTGTGGCAACGACGTTCCTTTTGTCCTCGTACATCCCCTGTTACTTGTGAGCTGACTGAGGATTTGTTGCAATGCTGATCAATGTGCAAAAGTTTACTAAAAAAAATAACCATGTGTGGTCTAGCAGCAGCGCACAGGATTCATGATTGTGAGTTCGAGCCCCACCATGGCCATGCGTGTTGTGCCCTTGAGTAAAGCACTTTACCTCAATTACTCCTCTCAACCCAGGTGTTAAAATGGGTACCGGCATTATTCAATGCTGGGAAGGTAACAGACTCGCTGTGGAGGAGGTGTGGCGATCCCCCACAGCAGCTTTTCATGTACTCGAGTCTGGCAAAATGGCTTCGAAAGAGAGATGGGCACTCGGTTCCTGTTAACGCAGGTTCGTCCCCTTAAAAAAAACCCCAGCCTGTTCAGGTCTCGAACATGCTGCGAACTCCAGAATGAAAAGGAAAGGAAAACATTCCAAATCAAACGCACTTCCTCAAAAACAGACCTGAAAACAGTAGGTGCTCTACAAACTCAAAACAGGGCCGACACACGTTTTAAAAGGTAGCTAAAATGAGAGGGGGGGGGGGGGGAATAAAACAAAGTGTGAATGACCCCAGCCACATTTTGCGTACAGGTTGAGACACAATTTTTTGAAAGACAGTCTTCCCTTCTCTAGTTCCATTCTCTTTCTCCAGTTCCATTACCAGAAGTCTGTCATGAAATGAAATCTTCTCAACTTATTGGTGGGGGGGGGGGGGTTGCAAGTATTGGCGATTTGCTTGGACACTCACCTTGGCGAGGTTGCAACAGGCATCACTGATTTACGGAATATTGCCGTCTTCTTTGCATTTGATGTAGGAGTGGTGGAAGTTCGGATCGGCCCGCTGGACTGGTATCGCATGAAATGATTCAATTGAATTCAAATGTACATTATTATATTCATATTCAATAAGGGAATAAATATGTGCTTGGCTGGTTTTAAACAAGAACGTTTCAAACCAGCTAAGGTTGTTTAAAACCAGCCAAGGGCCAGATCCGAGGTCATTATTTGTGTCCAGGCCCTTAGCTGGTTTTTAAAGTACTTGTTTAACACCGGTCAAGCAAATATTTATTCCCAATCGTATTTATTCCCATTCATACATGCCTTTTGGTCGAAAAAGGCAAAACAAGTCAAAATTTCACAAATTTTTTAACGATTTTTTCAACAATTTTACCTCACGTTTTGTGAAACACCCCTCTGGCCATGTCGATGGTACATGCTAACAATCTCCTTATATGGAAATTGGTATGTGCGTGGCGCGTACTGTGCGATGTGGCGCAAAACGCAGCAGTGTTTTACCGGCGGTTAAAAACCACCCACGTGACGAGCTCTCGACCAATAGGAATTGGTAAACTGTTTTAAGTATTTATGAGTAAACATGAATACCAATCACAGTAAAAACACATGACGTTTTCTTTGATTAAATTTCATGTCAAGCAGAAAGTAAATTTTAATACTTTTGCCCTTCGAAATTATGTCAGTGAAGGGCGAATCCAACATTAAAATTTACATGAAATGTGTTGTCTCATGTGCTTGAAATACATTGAAAGTTTTGTCGTCTTCAGAATTAGTTTTAATTTGGTTTCACAAGTCTGTCACACGTCATCCAGTCAAGGGCCCATGGGGGGGGGGGGGGGAGTGCACAGCCCCCCTAAAAACAAAACCAATTCTTTCTTATTTAATTGACATCACAATAAAGGCAGACACTGAGTACTTTGTTTAGGGTTCAAAGTTCAGAAATCGCCTCAGATTGCACCACAGAGCATCTACAATCAAAACAAATTTCGGAGCTCTAGAGCGGGCCCCGAACCCCGCGCCGTAATTTTTTGGACCCACTTTTTGGGGACTAAAATTTTTTTGGGGCCCCCCCCCAAAAAATTGTGCTATGGACCCGCCCTTGCATCCAGTCCAAAGTCCCGTCACAATCTATTCAAATTAAACGATGACAAAGACCAGACTCCGTACTTGTTTATCCCATGTTGCGTGTGGCTGGACTTGTGCCCTGACATGTGATTTACTTGTGACTGGATTGCCATGGTCATTTGATTGACTCGATGTCAACAATGCAGGTGCCATACTCACCAGGCCAAAGTCTCTCCGGAGTTCAGCCAGTTTGCTCTCCAGATTTTCCTGGAATTGCGCCAAGTTGTCGGTGCGAAGCTGGCCGTGCAGATTGACCCCTTTGGTTAATATCTGCATCTGCAGGCAGAAAAGAATTTAAAAAGAAAAAATTTAGTCATTAGGAGCAAATAACAGTACACATGCTTTGGCCTCCTTTTCAACTTTGCGGTTAACATCCTGTTTTCAAAGTGCATTATGGTAAACCCCTGGTATTCCCTTGCACAAGGCCACCGATTTGGGCAGTTTTGGGGGCATGTGTGGCTTAGGCCTAAAAAAAAAAGCCTCCGGTTTCTGGAATGCGCGCGCGTCGCCGTAGCCATGCGCATCGGCAAAATGAAAAAGTTGTTTTTTTCAATGAAAGATGATGTCTCAAAACCGCCAAACTCACTGGTTTGACTGGAATCCTGCTGCTGCACAATTTTAACGTGTTTTTAGATTGGGTTATGGTTGAGAATAAACTTTATGTGGCCTCTCTGGACTCCCATATATTTGCACTTAGTTTAGTCGGGCACCATTTGCAGTCATCAGCCGACATATGAAGCAAAAAAATCAGGTGAAAAAAAGCCGCGTCGCCGCACCACTTTTTGGGCAAGCTCCATACCAGAAACCGGAGACTTTTTTTTTTGGCCTTAACTTGGTTTTTTTTTTTTGTGAGTGAATAATGACCATAGAGCTATATCAAATAACAAGAGCGCTAACTTCATGTACAAAGTAATGCCTGCTGGGTGCATCCATGTTTGCATATCTGGGTTCGTATTCCATAGCCATTACACCTAAACCGAAACGCACAATCAGCAAATGAGCGTGTCATTTTGCTCTACGCAAACAGCGCGTATTCGCTGCAGATGCTTTTTGCCGTAACTTTTTTTTGAACCGTCAATGACGCGCTTAATTTGTTTGCGTATGTTCTACTTGCGCGTTGCATGTGAGTACACTTTCAAAATTCAATCCATCTTATTTCATTATTATCTACAAACACGCACATGAATTCAAAATGTCTGCGCCCAGGACGGCTTCAAAGCGTATCCACGCGCAGAATGACCAGTTAGCGCTCCAGTAATTTAATATAGCTCTATGATAATGACGAGGTTATATTTGAAGCTGTCAAAAGTTATTTACCTGCTCCGAGACCAGCCTTTCAAGTTGTAAACAAAGGTCACTGTCCTCTGGATGCTGTTTCTTGTACTCATTGCTTAAGAATGCCTGAAGGAATGACAAAAAGCAGCATCTGTTATGCAACAGCCTGTTATCCAATGTTGCTGACTAGCCCGCAGATCGACACCGTTTGGTTATAAGACCTGCCTGCTTGATATGTGAGCAACATCACCTGCATTTCCTAATGTCACACTGCACGTTTCGGCAATTGGCATAATGGTGAAGTTCATGCCTATTCAGACATTTGGTTGTGGGTCTTTTCTATAAATCTGGAGTCCACTTTTTTTGTCCTGTCCCTGTTACAATCCTGGATTTCTTATAAGTCTGGAGGCACTCCGGGACCCAGTTGTCCTCTAAAGAGTGATTATGAATAGCAAACTTCCAATCCAAAACAAATTAAAAAAAGGCATGTGGAGTCATTGTTATCCCTAACTCCCTAGGGGGTGTGCAAAATTGTATTAAAATTGGAAGATTCAGGACTGTTAGGGTTTTAATGATACTTGAATGGCAAATTACCGAGGTAATAGGGACAGGAAAAATGTCACACTTTGGAGCCTAAATTGATAGAATGACCCATGTGCAGTCATTACTTGGATTGGACAGAGCATCATGGAGCAGGGCTTGGCAGATCCTTGCTTTTATGAAGGTACTTGCTAACCAAAGCCTAGAGCTAGTCACAAGCAGTATGGATTATGGTCAGAATGTCATGGGGCAGGGCACATCACAAGTCAATCACAAGTCAATGTCAATCACAAGTCAATCACAAGTCAATTACAAGTCAATCACAAGTCAATCACAAGTCAGTCACAAGTCAGTCACAAGTCAGTCACAAGTCAATCACAAGTCAATCACAATTCTAATCAATCACCAGTCAATCACCAATCACACATCAATCGCAGTTAATCACACGTCAATGACATGTCATCACAAGTCAATCAGACGTCAGTCACAAGTCAATCACAAGTCAATGTCAAGTCATCAAAAGTCAATCACCAGTCGTCCAGTCCCTATAGTCAAGTCACAAGTTATTCAAATGACTCATCTCTAGTAACTTCAAGATGTTCATCTCTAGTAACTTCTGACCTGACCCTTGAATTTGACTTGTGAATTGACATGCGATTGACTTGTGATTGAAATCCCAACTCTGCCTTTGTCAATGTTTATCCCTGACTTGTGAATTGACTTGTGACTAACTTGTGACCGGACTTGTAAAAGACTTGGTCTTGACTACAACACTGTTACTACTACCATCGCACTGTACTTGCTACTGCCATTACCAGTTTGTATTTCTTGGGCCCTCCCTGGACGGCCGCGTCAATGGTCCCTTGTAGAACCATACTGAGTGGGTTGATGCTGCCGTTAGGATTGGCATACATCTCGGCCGTGATGGTGCGGATGGCTTTGTTCTTGTTCTCCATGACGCTGACTGCGTTCTGGATTGGGGTCTGTTCAACCTAACCACACCAAGACAAAAAGGGGAATCATTGACTCAAATTCTCTAGGAATTCTTGGGGGGTCATTAACCCAAGTTCCCACGCAATTCTTAGGAAAGGGGATCATGAATGTAAATTCACAAGGAAAGGAATTCTTGGGACCCATTAACTTGAATTCCCAAGGAATTCTAGGGGGATTATTAAACTGAAAGAATGTTGCAACCTGACGCTGTTTTTGTTCTTCGTAAATCATCTCAATGAAGCTCAGTCATTGCAAAAATGATGATGAGACATGAATCTGGGACTGAGAAACATTTCCAGTTTCGTTAGTAATTACTTAGAAAATGTTCTTGACTCTCCATAGACTTTGTACTCTATCGCTGAAGTAGCGTCAGGTTTGAACATTCTTTCCTATTAAACAAATTCCAAAGGAATTCTTGGGGGAGGGGAGCAAAGGGGTCATTAACCCAACTTGCAGGAAATTTGAGAAAAATAAGAATAGTTTAAACATGTGCATGGCAGCAATGTTATCTGTTATTGGAGAGAAGGGGGGGAGGAGATCAGAGTTGTAATGACTCGAGTCAATGACTTGACTCGAGTCTGAATCAAGTCACAATTTTTTGGTGACTCAACTCGACTCAAGTCCCTAAAGGGTAAATGACTCGATTCGATTCGAGTACCTCATCAGAATACTTGACTCGACTCAAGCGAAGGCTAATAAGACTCGAGTCCCAAAAATAAAAGCAAAACTTTGAGAAAAGTGTTTGCAATGACTTATGGTGGAAAATTGATGTTCACATCACTTAGCGAATAAAGTACACTACAGCGGCCGCTGTCATGTACAAACATACAATATGTCACAGACTGCCACCTTATGGTGCTGGAATACACAAAATACTATCCCGGAACCGGACTTGGAAACATATTTCCAATTCGTGGTTTCATCATTGGCCTTGGGCAATTTCTTATTAAGCTCTTGGATTCGAACACCAGCTAAATTTATGCCCTCTTTTTGAAAATTGAATAGATACCTGCCCACTTTTAAATAATCAGAAACAGTTTTGTATAATGCAATTTGGTGTTGCTGTTGTCAGCGATCAGCGAAAAAAATTCTAGATCCATAGCCAAACCAGATAGCCTATAAGACTGATGTTTCACTTCTTGTTAACTGTTAGCGATATATGACTTTCTCTTTTGTCTTTATGTGTTATATAGTGCTCTTATATAGTGCTCAAATATATTCATGACTCAAATTGACTCGAGCCAAATATTTGACTCGACAACACACTGTGACTCGACGCGACTCGACTCAACTCGACTCGAGTCTCTTCTTAAAAATGTCTCGACTCAACTTGAGTCACAAAAATCAGTGAGTCGTTACAACTCTAGGGAAGATAGGGAGTTGCTAACCGTTTCAGACTCGATGACATCAGCCCATCTGAGGAGACTGGGCAGGGTGTTTTCTATCGTTAACTGTGTCTGCTCCACATACAATGTCTGTAAACAACAAATACAAAAATAACGATGAATATGTCAATAATACTATACAAATAAGTGGGATTAAAGAAATTGAAATACTGTTGAATAAATCACTAATCAAGAAAAAAAAACAACGTTTGTTGACGTCAATTACGCAATGCTTATTACCACACTCTAACATTTGTATTTGTCAGGATTAATGCCACTTTAGAAAACACAATGTTAGGCCAAAAACAAAAGTCTCCGGTTTCTGGTATGCGCGCACCCGTCGCCGTAGCCATGCGCGTCGGCAAAATAAAAAAGTTTTTTTTTCAATACAAGATGATGTCTCAAAACTGCCAAACTCACTGGTTTGACTGGAATCCTGCTGCTGCACAATTTTAATGTGTTTTTAGATGGGGTTATGATCGATAATAAGCTTTATGTGGCCTCTCTGGACTCCCATATATTTGCACTAAGTTCAGTCGGGCACCATTTGCAGTCATCAGCCAACATTTGAAGCCAAAAAAAAAAAAAAAAAGGTAAAAAAAAAACTTTTGGGGCAAGTTCCATACCAGAAACCGGAGACTTTTTTTTTTTGGCCTTACCTTGAACTCATTATCGGGATCTTTCTCCCCCTTGTGGAAGGGCCGGTCAAACTTGAATTTGCTGATCCTGTGGGTGTCGTAGAAACTGCTGATCCGGATGGGAACATTCATGTCCTTGAAGATGTTGTCTGTGGGGACGGTGTCGACCGCTCTGACCTGGAGGTCTGTTGGGGTATTGGAGTTAAAGGCGGCAAATACAGGTATCACATAAAGCAATAATGTTAAAGGTAGTGTATGACATCTGAAAATATATCTGGCCGCGTCAGTGCAACAAGGTCGTAACTCGATTCTGTAACAAAGTCATATCTCACAGAAATACATCGGGATTATTTTAAGCGAGATACGACCTTTTGATATTGAAAACTCGTGCTTCACATACATGACGTCGCACAACATTTTAGGAGATATGACCTTGTTGCACGGCCACGACGATATATATAGAAAAATAAAAATTGCCAAATTTTTATGAAAATGAATTTTGAGTATGAATCTTTGAATTTCAATCCAAGGATACACTGATGATTGTTCTGCAAGTCGGCGCTGGTGGGCGGCTCATTCTTCTGCCAGTTCTTGGCGCGGGGAAAGTCCGACTGAAGCCGCTCAAAGAGGGTGCCCAGCTGCTCAAATGGCCGACCGCGGTAAATCCAGGCTTTGCTCTACCGAAACCAGAAATGTACAAGTTTTTAAAACAGAGTGAGAGAGAGAAACTCACTATAAACCAAAAATGTCTGAAATGTTTTTGGTCTGAATATGCAGGGTGAGTCAAAAAAGCGAAACTCAAATGTTGGGACCATTGTTTAAGTGAAGTTCTGCATGTAGCCCTTTCAAAATCTAGGATCACAAGAAGGTGATCTTACCTTGAGTGGGAAGTTGCCATAGAAGGTGACCCTGAAGTAGGTGGGAGTCGGTCTCTGCTTCTGGAGGATGTTGTCAAAGAACGACGCTTGAGCTTGCTGATGAGAACATAACAACATATCATGGAGTTTAAAGTCAAGCCAAGGATATTCAGCAAAACATCGGTTTATTAATGTGCCATCTAGTCAAGACTACTTAAAGGGAATATGCAACATTTGCAAACATCACAAAACAAAACTACCCAATTAATTTTGAAATGACTGTTAGTGAATGACAGTCTAAAGCATCCTGTAAAATCATGGCACCTGGTGTGCTGTAATTTTCAAGAAAAGTGGTATTTTTGTATCAATTTCCAATGCTGGTTGGCCTACCAGCATTGGAAGAAACTGGCTTTTTTCTCTCAAATACTACCCCATATTTACCATATTTGGTTAGTCTGCATTTTGTTTGCAATCGATTACACACCTATGAATGGGTACAAGCCAGGTAGACTGGTTCCCTGACCTTACAATTCCCCAACGTCTATAAATTGTTCCGTTTCATCTTAAGTGGGGTCAGGGAACCAGACTACAGGTACATGATTATTTTTCTTGATTTTTGCAGCATCTACAAACACAAAACTTCAAACAAGTCGGTGTAACTATATTTGCTATAAAATACTAACCCCCAAATCCGTCCATTTCTGAAAATTACAGCAAAAACAAATGTTGTATTTTCCTTTAAAATTGAAAACCATGTTTAAGCCAGAACGTTTTCTTACCAGTATCCTGCTGTTTTTTCCATAGTCAAACAGCTTGCTCTCGTACTGAACCGACAACTCCTTGCAAAGAGGAATTCCAAACTCCCACATCTGATAGATAATAATAATCATATGGATTTATATAGCACACACATCAACCAAACACGTTATCATGGCCAAGGACATCATTATTATTACCCCTGCTCATCAGGCCAATGAAAGCCTACCAAATTTCAGATCCATGGGGGGTATACAGCTTGACACTGCCACATAGGCGCAACTGGCTGAACTTAAACACATAACCATCTATACCCTCACAGGTACCCATTTACTCCTGGGTGGGGAGAAGCAATGAGTGACAAAGAGCCCTGCCCAAGGACGCACACACCACAACCCCAGGCTGGACTCGAACCCACAACCTGCAGGATTACCCGTAGTATTACCCACAGGATTACGAGTAAAATGCACCAGACCAGGAGGCCACGGCACTCCACAATATATAGCTAGAGACTCCGTGCACAGGAACCCCCGTCAACGCTTACAAAAGGAGAGTTGGGGGAGACCACTGGGAGGAATATTCAAGAGCACTGCTAACAAGGCCTGACACTCACACAGATACGCTATGGGCTTGACCACATTCAGCATAAAATGAGTCGTTCGTACTTTTGGCCATGCAATCACGAAGCAGTATGCGAGTGTAGACACCGGCAATCGTGGACCAAGGACAAAAGGGTCAGGGCACAAACAATACGTCCACGCTTGACTGATAGTCCACCACTGAAATTCGTGTACAAAACCAATGAAAGCTGTTGCAAAAAAGTTAGGGTACAAACAAAGGAATGAGGATTACAGCAAATGGGCTCTGTGCGCCAACAAAAAGGGCGCCCTTTTACCTAGCAACGACGTCCCATGGGCGGGACATTTAGCTGGTTGATGCGCACCCTTCCTTGTGTGTGTGACGCACGTACACCAGGGCATTTGTACTATGTACACGCAGTGGTACATGGTACGGCCACGCGTCGCGGCAAAATTGCAGTCAGGCAAGATAGCGTCGGTCGGTCACCCCCAACTGTGCTTTCTTTGCCGGTGAGGGGGTACTTGTGAACGGAGCGGATAGGGGGTCCATGATTGCCGGTGTTTACAAAGATACATACGCATGCAGTGCCACTATCCCACTCTGAAAAGTGTCACAAAGTGCCATGTACGGAGTCCAATATCCAGGAATGTCATTGAAGCGTAAAAACCGGCTATGTTCATTAGCTCATGAATATGCATCAGGTGTAATATTATACAAATACTGACTGCTTTGAGTGGTGTATTAAGTAGCCTCTAATTTAAAGGTGATCCATGGAACGTTCTGTTTTCCCGAAGCGAAGCCGAAGGAAATGGAATGCTCCATGGATCACCGAGGGTGGCTAGTAATAGTACACCACAAGTGAAAGCAGTCAATATCTGTTTCACAACACCTCTCCCACAGATTCTGCTTAATTTTAAGAAATAACTGATCAATTAAACAAAATTCCAATTAATATACATTTCTATTTTAATATGAAATTAGTAGAATATGTACTTACGCTTTTCCAAACTGCCCCTTCATGGAATGTTTGAACCCCACTCTGTATGGCATGGGAACAATACATGCAACGCGCAATGCACAATGCACACACCCGTATGCATACGTGTGCACACATGTCCAGTTGCCATTTGGGTTGCTATGCATATAGCACTTTTTTTCAGCCATTGTACAGTCTTTTTGGATGTGAGTGTGGCAGGGCCAAATTTAACTTGTATTTTTTCAATGTATTTTTGTATGCTTTAGTATAGGAGTAGCCCCCCTGAGGAAATCCAGTGTTTCTATTAGATGTCCCCAACCCTTTCATAGTTGTGTATCCCCCTGATTAGCTTCCCCCAGCAACAAGTCCACATTGTATGTAAATTAGACTCATGCATTGGTCCCCTTCCCCCAAGACCATGTGCCCTGCCACCCTGTAAGCCTACAGACCCCTCATAATCAGTAGCAGACCAGCGGCAGTGGAGAGAACACTTTATTTTTGAGCCTCTCTTTCCCCTTGATTTTTCTTGGGTGCGCTTTGCCCTGTGTGAGTGTTTTTCTGCTCGAGTCATTGAGTTTCTTCCAGAATTGTCTTGAAAGACATTATATTACACACTGTGTTGGTTTTAACTTGGTTTTATCATTGGTTTTATGGTTAAAGTTTTCGGTCGAAGTCTTTAGTTTTGGTTTTAGGGTTTTAGTTTTTTTTTTAGGTTCTATTCTTTGCTTTTAGTTTCTGGTTTGTGGTTTAAGGTTTTGGTAAATAAATTCTTTTTGGTCCTTTTTTTGGGTTTGAAATCTAGAATTTGTGTCTGAGTCTCTATTAATTCAATCTCCTCGCGCCTTTTCCTTTCAAGATCCTGGGTTTAGTTTAGTTTTGTTAGTAAATCCCCATAGATAGAGAGTCTGTTTAGTGCGAGTTCCCCATAGCGGGTCAGTTTTCACGGTTACATGTACAGCAAGAGATTAAACATAGCGAATGTCGCATGACTCACTCCTGGCCAATCAAGGTACAGAATTTGTAGGTGAGGCACTATAAACGAATGTATGATTTCCAAATGTACAAAAAGTTTGTCAATTAGCAAAACAAACCTCTCCCTTGTCCATGAGATTGATGATCTCGTGATACAGCGCCTCTTTTCTCTGCATCTCCGACTGCTGCGGGTGTTTGTCGTCCGATTGAAGCAGCTTGTCCCTCCACTCCAGGGACGTAGCCAGCACCAGCAAGGTGAAGGCGGCCTCGGTGTAGTCGTTGGACTCTAGGTGCAGGTCTCGTAGGCGGTAGATGTAGCGGGCGTAGATATCCTCGCGGTTGGCATCGTCCTTGTAGAAATTCTGTATCGACGTGAAATGAGAGAAACATCATCAGGATGTTCATCTGTCTGGTTATAAGAATCTTCCCATCATATATGATATGTGACGGCTTTGGACTGGCATCCCATGCTATAAAGAGAACCAGAGATAAAGTCTGAACAGATGATCCATAATTGAGTCAGGACAAGACTTTACTTTATTACATTAGAGTTACGTTCCCTGTGCTCAACACATTCAATTATTTTTTCTATTAATAAATGTGATGATAACTTTTGATGCTTTATTCCAACCCTAAAACCTCCTTTTTAGCCCCCCCCCCCCCCCCCCCCCCCCCCCCCCCCCCCCCCCCCTGACTGTGGGAACCTGTACATTGTGATATTTCACCGGTTGAGAATATTCACGACACATTTCAGAATTTCTTGGATGGCATAACCACCGAATGGACTCTACTGATTAATAATGATATTGGCTTCTTGTATAGCGCTCATGTTCGTCACAAAATGATGCTCCTGGCACTCCCATATTACCCTGGCTTTAAGCACGGCTGCCATTACGGCGCACAAGCATTGAAGGAATTCCTTCCTACCAGGTACCCATTTACTACACCTGGGTTTAGAGAGGCAATCGTAGTAAAGTGCCTTGCCCAAGGGCACGAGCACCATGTTCCCCGTCAGGATTCGAACCCATGTACCACGGCACACGAGTCGAACACCGTAACCATTGGTCCACAGCACTCCATTAATACAACACTCATGCATCCATGGGAAAAATACTTTGAGCACAGAGATTTCCTAATAGCACAGAAAATAGGTGACCTGTCGCCAGAGATTAGCTTAAAGTCGGAAATTGCCATTTTGCAGTAAAGTGGGGCAATATACAAATATAACATGGTTTGAGGGTGGACAGTCGATATTCGCTCCCCGAGGTATTGGAAGTTGACAAACTAGTTCCCGAGGCGAAGCCGAGGGAACTAGTTTGTCAACTTCCAATACCGAGGGGAGCTAATATCGACTGTCCACCCGAAATAAACCATGTTATATTTGTTTTACTATACCTTATACATATTCAGTTGCCGAATTTTGTTTTATTATTATGCACCTAAAACAAAATTTGGGAAAACTTGTACAGCTCACCAAAAGATTCAACTTCAATTACTAGTTCGGTTCGTTTGCAATATAATACAGTTACTACAGTTGTAAATACAGTTGTTTGCAATGTGTACAACTTTCTTTTGTACAGGAGACATCTTTACACGGTCTATACATTTTCTCCAGTACGGCATCATTGAGCTCTGTAAATTAACATTTACGCGAACCGTGCAACCATGCATCTCTCCTGTGCGATGTTCGCGCGTGCGTACTGCACCGTGCGACAGTTCCTCGATTGCTCTGTAAAGCGCATGCGTAGTAGACTGTCGCACGGGTAACCCATGCGACAGTCTACTACGCATGCGTATTTACAATGTGCGTGAATCCTCGCGCGCGCGTTTGGTAAACAGCAAGAATAACATCTGGCACGTGATGGTGAATTGACCAGTGAACGTTCGGCTCTCGATCATGAATATGTATGAGGTATAGTAAAACAAAATTTGAAGAGGTTGTCAATATTTTTGTTTCCAGGTGAACCTTGATGTGTAAGTCTTTTTTTTACCTTTCTCCAGCTTGTTTTGTTCTGTCCATCACCTTTAAAACCCGTTTTCAACCCGTTTTATTATTTGACTGTTTGTTCACTTTAACACAACTGCAGGATGTTTAAATTCCATTTTCACAATAATCAGTTTTACATCTTCAAGTAAGTTGGTGGTCTATATTTCCAATACTGAGCTCAGTACCCCTAAACGTTGTATACCATTGCAAAGCTCTTGTTCTGCAGAATCCAAATAAATAAATATCTCAATTCTTAAAAAGTCAGACTTTCGGCTCATATTGTGATGACAGGTCATGTTTGGTTACCAGTCAAAACGACAGGATCTTTACTACTTGCCACTGGTTCTCAGCTGATGTTCGCTAAGCACATTTGTATTCATGCTAAGCGGCTCCATGACAATGTGGTTCAGGTGATACCTACCATGAGATTGTACATGCAGTTCAACCGGAGGTGTCTGTTTTCCACGCTGGTGTCGGCCACGTTGCGGTAGTCGATGAGTCGCTCCAGCAAGCGCTTGACCTTGTCCACAAACTGTTCGCCTTCCTCTCGCCACGGCTGACTGGCGATACATTCCAGTAGACTAGGGAAAGATATCAATGAACAGAGGTTACATAATGTAGAGTACATCTTCAGGTTGAGTGAAAAAAAGCCGCAACCCAAATGGCAGGACAATTTTTTGAATGAAGTCTTGCCTGTAGCACTTTGAAAATCTAGGAAATGAAAGCCCACTTAATAAGCTTTCTTTTAGTACAAGAATCATTCAAATCACTCATGTACTTTTCAAGTTATGGAATTTTGAACACAAAGACTGTTTTAAAGTTCTGTCCTCAGATCACAAAAAAGGTATGTGTTCTTTCAGCAAAAAAAACCAATTCACATGCGAATGAATGTGAATTGTTTTCTTTTTGCTGAAAGAACAATTACCGGAGTAATTGCAGAATACCCCGCCACTCGGAAATACACCCCTAAAATCTCTGGCTACGAGGTTGGAATCACTGGAAAAGAAACAATTCAAGTCCATGCCAGCTACGCGGATACTGAGTGAGGGTCCATTATTTGAGAACGAAGCAACCTAAAAGAATTGGGAGTTGCTGAAAAATGTTTAAGTCCAAATCAACCACCCTGTTGGCGGCTACGCGGATACGGAGTGGGAGTCCCCTTGAATATGCTTGAGAACGAAGCAAACACAAAAGGAATGGGAGTTGCTGAAAAAATTCTAAGTCCAAACCAACTACCCTGTTGCCGGCTACGCGGATACGGAGTGGGAGTGCAGTGGAGCATGACGCATAGTAAATACAGTAGCACTGAGAAGGTTTATTGAGGGCAATCAACCGTGACTCCGTAGCCAGCTACGAGGTGGATAGATTGAGTGGCGGGGTATTCTGCAATTGTGCCCAATTACCTTTTTGTGATCCATGGAAAGAACTTTAAAATGGTGGTTGTGTTAAAAAAAAAACCTGTAACTTAAAAAGTACATGAGTGATTTGAATGATTCTTGTACTAAAAGAAAGCTTCTTAATTGGAGTTTCATATCCTAGATTTTGAAAGTGCAACATGCAGAAGTTCATTACAAAATGGTCCTGCCATTATCCTTTTTTTTTACTCAAGCTGTTTACCAACAGCTTTTGAGTTTACTGGAAATTTGCAATGGACTTGTGATCCATCACAAGTACCTCCACTGCAATACTGATACAATGCCTATATGCACTTTGAGAAATGCTGGCTCTCATCACCAGAAAAAGTTAAAAAAAAACAAACACACAGAAATAAGGGGATAAATGGGGTTGACTTACACTTGATTAAAGAGAACGGTGTAGTTTTCATCCCCTTTCTTCTCCACACACACCATAGTGTCCAGCTTGTCGATCAGATCATCCTCCAGCTGCAAACGACAAAATCCAAAACACTCCAGAGTAACTTTAAAATTGTTAAGATGTCTCTACTAGTGTACAGAATGCAGGGTCAAACCCATTCATTCACTGAAGAATTATACTGCACTCGATCTTCAAATCTCTTGAGAAGCATGTGTGCCTGAATCTAAACAAAAACAGACACTTGGTGCTAAAAAAAAGACAGATTTTATTCTGATTTGAATCTGTGAAGAATTATTCTTCATATATGATGCATGTTTCGCAGCTGAAGCAAACTGGATAAATACTGACAGATGTACGGGAAACAACATTTATGTATTAGTGCTGTGTGTGCTTGTACATTATGTGTACACACACACACACGACATGCACAGTACACCGAATCATCTGGCACTGAAGCCGGGGGCAACGTCCATAAGGAGACTTATATTTACGGCTGGAAATACGTATGCCACAAAATGTCCACTGCGACAGAAGTAAACAACCAGGTTTTTTTGGTCTTTCCTCAAAAACAGTGCAACATTAGTATAATTTCTTTTCAACCAGACCTTTGAATGATAAGTAAACAATCTTAAATATACACAATTTGGCGATTTCAGGACTGTTTGCCCCTTTATGTGTATTCCCATCACCTTAACAAACACAAGCCAACTATACAATGTAGACTAGGCATCATTTCAGAATGATCCCACGGGGAAGATGCGCCCCAGTGTCCAAAATCTGCAGGAGTTTCCACACTTCACCACTAGAGGGCAGCACAGTGCACTAAGGACGATAAACCTGTCGTACCTGGTTGAAGTTGCCCCTCTCCAGTTTCTCGCAGCACATGATGTCAAAGATGATGGGCAGAATGATGCGACGGATCTCGGCCTGTCTGACCATGGTGACCTCCAGGAAAGGTCGGGTCAGGTTGCGGAACAGACTCTTGTGATCGCCTTGGGTTGCGGACAAACGACAAACACAGTTACAAATCAGACAAACACATGTGCAAAGTCTGTGTTAAAGTAAAATATCAGAATCAAAAGTATCAGAAAAAAGTCTGGTACCTAGACTCTGCCACTTGCTGACAATCTCCTGGGCCATGTCCACCCTCATGTCACCGTACCGGTTGAGGATACGATCACGCTTTGCTGGGGTCATAGTGTCGAGCTGTAGACAGGGCTGGGTGATGAAGACACAGGCTAGACGGAAGTAGTCAAACCATAGCTGAGGATGATGAGAAAAATCACTGAGCATTACTAAAAAATTACTGGAAAATTACTCAATTATTTAAAGCATATATGATCATTTGCTTTCCATGCATTTTATTTGTTTCCAATAATAACACCACTCAAAATCCAAAGAAGAATGTTCAAAACCGAACTCGTTAAAGTTTCAGCTCAGTGGACATTACACTTTTTGAGAAAACAGTGAAAAACCATGCACAATCGTTTGATCACAAGCATGATTTTGCCAATAGCACTCTTTATTCAAAAAATCAGTCAATTGACTGACCTACATTTCTTGATTTCTTTTAAACTACAGCAAGCCACAACGTAATTTCACGGGGTGTTTAGTACCAATACCATTTACAATCCAAGTAAGCTTTTGATAATAATTTGGTAGGTTACTTTTGGGATATATGCAAATGATCCTATAGGCCTTCAACGAGTGGAGTGTTTTCTTCAATCTTTTCACTATATGTAATAAGACTGGTGCATCCTCAATGCAAGTGCAAACACAAACTGGAATCTGTGTTGTCGCAGCAATTGTGTTTTTTTGCGTGGCAAATTTAAAATGAGTAGAACACAGGAAACTTTGGCAAGTTTTACTCTGAATATTTCATGACTTCAAATTCCCGTTTGCATTCACATTAAGCAGGAACAATTCTTGACCCTCCAGCACAATACCAGCCAATTTTTGAAAAAAAACCTTGGATTTTGGGCTCATTAGAAAGGACATTGAATAAGCTTTCTACTGATGTAAAGAATATGGGAATCGGACAAAATCTGACAGAGTAAAAGGTACTTTCAGTTCCCTATTTTCATCAATATTCAATGGATTATGGGCTGAATCTCATAATACGGCCATGGGACTGCCAACTGGTTCTGTGCTGGGGGGTCACATATAGTTTTTAATCCATGGGTAAAAAACAAAGGGAAAAAAAATTATAAACAAACATAAAAACATTCTTAAAAAGTTTTCGCAACATCATTTATAAGATGGAATTTTTCCCAACCTTTACTCAGGAGGTAACACACTGAGTATACAGTGTTTACACGTCGGTGAAGGGCAAAACCTAATTTGATTAACATCATTTAACAAACCAAATTACTAGAAAATTAAACACACAATCTTCATCTAAAGAAAAAGAGAACAGACGCATGCCACCACTCTGCGATGACATACCAAAGAAATTTTACAGTTAATTTTACTGGAGACAATATACAAACAAATCTCGTGCACAACCCTTTCATAGCCACGACATGCTAAAAGTCATATGGGGAAAATATCAAGCCTCGAGTACACTATAACAGATGCTCAATACAACAGAACCCCACATGAGATCATTAAAAAGGTAGAGAGGAGGCTTTTGGATAACAAAGTCACATAATTGTGAGGTTTTCTGGCAAAATGAGACAGAACTGGGCAGAGGTCGAAATGAGGGTTTGCAGAGATTAGGAAAGAGAATACATTTCTCCTTACAATACGGTTTGTTGCATTTCAATCGGACATTCTGTTGACAAGTTAGGGCTGTTAAAAGTTTGCATGTATCGATTTGTCAAAAAATATAGTACTGAGAAACAGGCCACTAAAATTTCAAGTTTTGTACTCGTGAAATGAAAGATGCCAATTGTTTTTCCATAAGAACACTTTTATTCAACATATTTTATACTATATCTTTAACATATGTGTAGTAGACATATGAAATATTACAAATATCAATAAATCGAAAAATCGAAAAAAAAAATCATAATTCTCAGTTTTTTGCATTTTTCTCCACTACAGCCTGTGCTTCGACTGTAATACCATAACCACAATCACATACAGACATGCACATGCTGACTTCATGCAGTTCTGTGTCATACTTCCAACGCAAGCCACTTACTTCGTACCCTACTCTTCTTTCCAGCCAATTTTCTCCCCCAGATGCACGGCTGTAACTCTGCATACTCTGGAATGGTTTGTTTGTTCACAGGAAAACTGGTTTTTGGGTTGTTTTTCAAGGAAGGTTTGCAATATTACATTTAGCATAATCACATTGACCGTTGAGAAAAGTCCGATGAGTGAATCTGAAGTAAGCATGCTCTGAATTGCTTCAGCAAGTAACTCACTAAAGGGTATGTACAACATTTGCTCTTGCTTCAATTTTCAGCAGTAAATGGATTTTGGGGATTAGAATGTTGAAGCAAATATTGTTAAACTGACTTGTTTCACGTTTTGGGCTTGAAGATGCTGGAAAAGCCAAGAAAAACATCATGTTTTTGTAGTCTGGTTCCCTGATCCCACTTAAGATGAAACGGAGCAATTGGTGGATTCTGGGGTCAGAGAATCAGTCCAGCAGGCTTGTACCCCTTCACAGGTGTGTAATCAATTGCAAAGAAAATGCGGAAAACTAATTATGAAAAGTTAAGAGCAGTTTTTGAAAAAAGCCAGTTTTCTCCAAAGCTGGTCGGCCAACCAGTGTTGCAAAAATACAATTTTTCTTGAAAATCCAGTAAGATGTTTTGTGATAATTTGATCATTTCGGGGTTTTTTATGTTTGCAAATGTTGTATAATCCCTTTAAGGCCTTTCACACTGTCCAAAATCTTGGTGCTGGACCCGGGTCCAACATGGAGATTTCAGGAACCCCTTCCACACTGGCAAGTATCGAAAATGACTTTCTACACGGATCCAGTGCTTTACATGGGTAAAATTCAACCATGGTCGGGACCGGTATCAGCTTGAAAAATATCTAATAGAGGACTTAGATAGATAGATAGATAGATAAACTTTATTAAAATCCCAAACTGGAAATTACATGTTGTCGTCTCTCATTAAAAGTATTTCGACAGATTGAGGAAGCACGGTAGTCAAAATGGCCAAGGCAGTTCAAGTATAAACAAGAACTCACCTCTACATTAGCGTTGTCAGCAGTCAAGAATGTGCTGGACAGATCGATAGACACTCGCCTTGTTGCAACGAGTATCACACTAGACAGAAACAAGTAACAACATGGAGTACAATTACATTTAACATTTGACACACGCATAACCCCAATGAGGTTTTTACATTTTTCCCAAAAGCTCGTCATTATTTCATCATGCGGAAATACAGGGTGGTTAAAAAAAAGGACACCCACATTTGACAGCAATTTTCACCTATTTTTAAAAATTATTTGTAACCGTCGATTTGTAGCTATTGAAGTAGTGGCCTTTTAGCAAATGTGACGAACAAATCATTGCATTTGCACATTTTGACGTTGAGCTATGCTAATTTGAACATTTCACGTGCGAAACCTGTTTGTCCATGGAGGTATAAACACTCAACACAAAATGCACCAATGCATGCTTGAACATTATCATTTGAAAAAACGCGCTAACAATGAAGCCCATCTTAACATTTGAAAGGGCATGCCATTTGATTGTTATGTTATGTAATGTTATGCAACAATGAACTTAAGCCAACAGCATATTGAGAAGATGATCTTAACACAGACATGAATAATTGGACAGCTTCAATAAAAGTTACCAAAACAAAATATGTTTTGGTGGGAAGGTTTTTGAACTTTTTTATGAACTACGAAAACGTACAATTTACATAGAATAACCCGTGGACAAGACTAATTTTGGTGACTTGTATTCAAATTAGCATAATATCACCATTTTTGCGACTTTTACTATGCTTTTTTCACCATGCATGGTTAAAGGCCTATACTGTACTACTATGTGAACAAAATATTTAAAATAAGTTCATTAAGTAGGTACAAATTGCTGTCAAATGTGGGTGTCCTTTTTTTTTTAACCATCCTGTATAAATAAACCAATACAAATTTATACCCAAAACCCCAATGCCCTCCTATTGTGCCCACCATATCTTAAACAGGCTAATTGTATATATGGCGGTCCATCCTGTTTTACCTGTTGGCCAGCATTCTCATGGCCATCCAGTCCACCTGGTAGAACTGCTTGGCAGACAGCTCCTTGAAGACCCTCATGGTCTTCTTGAGGAATTCTCGGTGCCTCTCCTGTTCCCTCAGGCTGGCCTTCAGCTCCTGGTAGTGGGATTCCTTCATCAGTCGCAGCAGGTCCAGCAGACAAGAGATGCATAGAACCTGGAGGCGAGGAAACGCAAGAGAAGGTCAGACTGTGTAACTCTTTCAGAAAAGAAATATTAATTAAAACAAGATGCATTTAATTCTATAAACACAAACGACAGTTTACCAATTTCTATTGGTCAAGAGTCCGTCAGGTGTGTGTTTTAAATGGTTGATAAAACTCTTGACTGGGTTTAAACACTTTCTGTCTGGCACTGCTTCATTCTGCGCCACAGACACGCCAATCTCCAAACAAGTGGATTTTTATTACTACTCGCAAGGCACAAAATATAAAACATAGCTAGAGGGGTGTTTCACAAAACATGAAGTAAACTTGTTGGAAAATTGTTGGACTTATTTTGATTTTTTGACTGAAGGGTATTTATGAATGGCAATAAATATGGGCCTCCCTTTGGCTTGGGCCATTATCCGCATTTCACTTTGGGAGTTTCAGACCATAATTGTGCCTGAATTTTTTTTTGGGGGGGGGGGGTGGGTTTCCAGGTGTAACAGTCAGAAATGCATAACCCAAAATGTCTCAATTTCACTTTCGTGACACCTTTTGTGACATCATAAACTTCAACTGCATAACTTTGTAAAGGAAGGTCTTTTTCATAAAATTTAATCAATGTTGTATAGGAGAAGATCTATATTTTGACAATTAAAAACAATACTTTTGGCCAACTGCCCAGAAGAGTCTGTTTTTAGAGACAAGAAGAAAACATTGGAATAAAATTACAGGGAAAACCGCGGAATGACTTACAAAAGAAAACCCGCACCCCAACCCACCAAATGCTAGGTGGGATTCTACTACTTCTCTTGGGGCCACCACAGTAAAGTGATATCCAGGGCAGGATTCGAACCCGGGTCACAGCAGTGGAAACGGAGGAAAGTACTGCTACTCCAGCCTGATTCCCCTTGTTAAGATCAAATTATTACTTTGAAGGTTTTAATTCATCATAGACTGCATGGAGTTCCCACTAGAGTTGAGACTCTTACCGCTGTGTTGGTCTTCCAATCAAGCGACATGACCATGTTCAGAATACTCTCCAGCAGCAGCTTGACAATGATGCTCACGTCAGCGTCCACAGACTCCGTCTGCAAAATAAATACAGAAACGCTAATCTCCTGTATAGGGGAATATTATACAAATATTAAAGAGGTTGTGGAATGCTCGAAGACATTTCCGTCATTTTTCGGGTATATGTAGCCTAAGGTGTGATGAAATAAAAACGACTATTGGGTCTGTCATGAAATGAGTACAAAAGGTACTTTTGAGAGCTGTTTTTCAGGTCCTGTTTCGACCCGAACGTCCAGTTTGTGTAAAAGTCGTCGTTGGGGGCAGCAAACAAAACATAGTAAATCGTGACGTAATAAACAGGACTCGTTTATACTTCGCTGCATCGGGAGTCCCATTTATTACGTCGTTTGCTGCCCCCAACGACGACTTTTACACAAATCGGGTCGAAACAGGACCTGAAAAACAGCTCTCAAAAGTACCTTTGTACTCATTTCATGACAGACACAATAGTCGTTTTTATTTCATCACACCTTAGGCTACATATACCCGAAAAATGACGGAAATGTCTTCGAGCATTCCACAACGTCTTTAACTGCTTCGAGTGGTGTAGTAAAACTAGCCTCCCGAGGTGATCCATGGCGAGGGAAAATAGAATGCTCCATGGATCACCGAGGGAGGCTAGTTTCACTTCACCACGAGATAAAGCATTCAATATTTGTTTTGTAACACTTCACCCACAGATTCTGCTTGGTTTTAATATTTTAAATTATTCAAATCTGAACACAGTTAAAATAAACTTCAATTTCAATTTAAAATTGGTGGGAAATGTATTTCTCACTCTGTGGCGCGCTCTCTTGGGAACAATATGGGCTATGCGCACACCAGCATGCATTTGCACACAAATACCGCGCCATGCATATAGGACTTTGGTTGCTAATGGTATAGTACCGGTACTTTGGTTGCTACGGGTATAGTACTTTTGGCCGTACACTGAAAGATTGCAAAAATAGGAAGTGCCATGTAACTCGCTCTCGGCCAATTAAGACACAGAATCTGTGGGTGAGGTGTTATAAAACCAACTATTTCACCCGCAACTCATGGAGTATTTGCGTATTGACTGACCTTGTGCATCAAGTAGATATCACGCAGAATCCTGCCAGCATGCTCCTTCAAATGTCCTCACAAATGGCACTCTCCTTCCCGTTCTCAATGTCTTAGGGAAATAGATCCATCTATTTGACCCACAAACCAGGTAATATTTGTGTATTGACTGACCTTAGATATCAAGTAGATTCTTGACAGCGTGCTGCTTAAAATGTCTACACACATAGCACTCGATCTCCTTCCAGAACTTTCTCAATGCCTTAATAGGAAAATTTCTGCATATTTGACCCCAAAAATATTCACTGACCTTGGATCTTGCAGAGGCTTGCCAGCATGCTACTCAAGTTGTCCACACACATAGTGCTCTTCTCCCAGTTCTCAATGCCTTAATAGGAAAATGTCTACCCACATTGTATTTGACCCCAAACCATGGTACAGGTATTATTAGTTACCCTGCGAGCGCGAGTGGAACACGGAATAATGTAGTGCGTCTGTGTCCCATATACCACGACGCCGAAGGCCGAGTGGTATGTGGGACACAGACGCACCACATTTTCCGTGTTCCATGAGCGCGAGTGTGATAACGAATTTATCTTTAAGCAAACTTGACGCGCAGTAAAGTTGGACCATGGCTTTACACAAACCTTTTAGCGGTTTAGCGCATGCAGCTGGAATGTGGCTCGCATCTTGGAAAAGCGCAATACGCAGGGTGCGATATGGACCGTGCAATGCAGCCTCATATCACACTGTTGTTGCCATGGATCGACCAATCAGGATTGAGGATACAAGTTGGCTTGACGATAAATTTCTATATTGACTGACCTTGAATATATACCTAAGAAAGGCTTGCCAGCATGCTGCTGAAGATGTCCACATACACAGCACTCTCCTCCCAGTTCTCAATGTCTTAGGTAAATATAATCATCTATTAGACCCATAAGCCATGGTATATTTACATATTGAATGACCTGCTGGGTATCTTATAGAGGCTTGCCAGCATGCTGTTCAAGGTGTCCACATACATAGCACTCTCCTCCCAGTTCTCAATGCCTTAGGTTAATATAATCACATATTTGACCCATAAGCCATGGTATATTTACATATTGACTGACCTTGGATATCTTGTAGAGGCTTGCCAGCATGCTGCTCAAGATGTTCACACACATACCACTCTCCTCCCGATTCTCAATGTGTAACCTCAGCTGTTTGAGGGAAGGTTCCAGCAGGAATTTTCTCGACACTGGGTTCAAGGGTCAGATTAAGGAGGAATCATATTAAGTAAGAGCAGAACACAAGGAAGAAAGTTGTAAACTTTTCATCTATGAACCCTCCTACTATGAAATAGAATTTCATTATGCACCACACTTCAAAATCAGATTGTCACATGTGAGAGGTTTTGAAGTGGTACGGAATGTGCTGTTTAACCCTGTAGGGGCCGGGTGGGGGGAGGGGGCGCCCCCCCCCGACTTTTTCTGCGATAGCCTTGAAATTTTTTTTTTTTCGCGACCCGAGCTGTTATAACTTTTTAGCCTTGAGCCTTGCGCATCTTTTGATAAAAATCGGACCACGGGTTGCCGCGCAACGAAAAAAATTTCCAGCGCTATGCGCTGTGAAAACTGAATTTTGCCCTATACGTAGTGTACACAGAGCAAAATTACCATTCGTGCATATATGAATAATTAATTAGCCATAATTCCAAAACCCTTTGACCTATAGTCATGAAATTTCTTGAGTATGTTCATGATAAGTTGTTCTATGCATGTATCGAGTTTCATAATTTTTCGTCGCTGGGAGCTGGTAAAAAAAGCCTGGCTCTTTTAGGGTTAAAACATTGTCAATACAACAGAGGCTGTGAATCTTGTATATATGTGGAGTATAGTACAGCTAAGCCAGAACAGGCTTAGAAGTGTCCAATACGTGTAGATTCTGTTTACAGTGTATTTTATTTGCTTTGCTTTATTGTTTTTTGTGGTTATCCAAATTTAGCATCTGGGACTGATAAGAAGGAATTTCCGAGCTTTTTGAGACTTTACTTTCAAAAAATTTAATGGTAAAAGTGTGAAGTGAAAAATGAGAAAATCAGCTGATCCGAGGGAAGCTTGCATGCCTGAAATAAATAAATAAAAACAAAGTTGATTTGGAGGATGCAACTCACTTGACTCCTTGAAGAGGTTGCTGTCGATGGTTTCCGACAAGAAGACCAGTTTTGCTTTCAGGACTTCGGGGGGAAGATCCTTGACGGGCATGTGCTCCAAGAGCTCAATGATGAACTGACTGACCTCCGGCGTGCTGTACATGACCCGCAGCTCCGTGGCTATGTGACTGAAGTTCTTCAACAGAATTAACTGACAGAAAAAAAAGGTACGATATGAAGAAAAAGGTAATAGGGGCTCCGTTTTACTAGCAGTACATTTCTGACGGTTTTATGTTTTTTTTTGCTGGAATCAAGGGGCCAGTCTACTGTCCCCTGACTGACTGAGCCACTGACAAATTGCTGACTGACTGACTGTCTGTCAGGTCCAATAAAACTAACTAAACTCTTGTCAAATTTTCAGGTTTACCTCAACTAGGCAACCCTTGTCTGTAATTGTAGACGAAAATACACAAAATTTCCTTAAAATAAAACGAAAACTAGAAAGCACTCAGAGAGCACAAACCTTCGCCAAGGCTAAACCATTCCCCGCCATATTGTCAGTACACCCAAAAGAAATACTTGCATGATAGTGAAGAATCCTTTAAAAAGCATCTTAGATCCAGACCCAGATCATCCGGATCTGTACTTGTACCAAGGACCAAACCGCTAAAAAAACTGTCATGCAAATCTGTCCATAACTGTTTGAGTTATCTTGTTAACAGACAAACGAACCAACCAAGCAACAAACTAACCAAATCCGATGAAAACATAACCTCCTTGGCGGAGGTAACCAGGCATGCAACTGGGAAATCACCAAAAAAGAGGAAATTCTAATTTTTCCCAGACTTTGTACAGTGTTTTTCTATTTTCAATGGCACACATGGGAAGTAAAAAAGAGGAAATCAGCTGATCCGAGGAAAAGTTGCATGCCTGGGTAACTAGACATCTAGGAATGCCCAACTTAGCTTTCCAGTGTTTTTATAGTAACCAGTAAAGTGTGCCTGCAAATCACAATAATATAAAGCCTATAATCTATATTTTAAGGGGGGAATTGTAAATTTTCCACATTCTCCACAGGTGGCAGTGGGGCCCAGGATACAAAGTAGTCTAGTATTTGGGAGGGGGGAGGGGGCTAAGAAAGGGGAAGGGAGATGGGGAAGGTGTCATCCAGAGTTACCTGCTGCAGTTGCAGTTTGTCCTCTGTGTGCGTCATCAATTTGTTCATGGAGCCAAACAGACACCGCATGCTGTCTTGAATGTTGCCGTCGTGGAAGTCGCCCGTCGCCCTGCCCAGTCAGATTGAATAAGAGAAAGGGACAAGTGAGACCAGAGAGCGCCAAAATAACGATTCATACCTCTTCCCAAAATTTTAAGCAGACACTTTGAGGTAAGAACGATATGAAATGTGAGTAAAATGATGATATAATGATGTGAGTAAAATGATGATATAAGCTGCAGTGAAACAAATTCGAAAACAGCACATGGAGAGTGACTATGAGACCACAAGGCCCAGTCTAAACTTCATGCAAATGTGAAATGTGATGTGATTTTTCGAGGCTATGTGGCATTCACAGCCAATGTCCATCACCCATTACATACGACATTATAGAATGGCTACAATTTGGGCTGTGCTTGCAATGTGTTGCTTAGAGATACTTACCACAACACTCTGCAAGTTAAAAACAAAAAAAATGACGTCATGTTATAGAACATCACAAGGCATGTAGAATTGAATTCTACATTCAAGATATCTTTGGCTTATCACAATTAAGGCCACCAAAAAAGTCTCCGGTTTCTGGTATGGAGCTTGCCTCAAAATTGGTGCGGCGATGCGGATTTTGTTTTTTTCCTCTATTTTTTTTCTGTAAATGTCAGTTTGAGGTGGAGCTTGAGGTGACCTCAGTAAGGCCATAAGGCTTGAGAATACTGCACCCACTTATGATCTCGACCGACACGAACACTCTTCGGGAAATTTGGATAGTCAAGACAAAAATCAGAGAAAATGGTAGTAACGTTAGACCATACAGCGACATCGACATCGCGCAAGAGCTACCATGCTGGTCTTTAGTCTGCTCCCTTACATATTACGCTAATTAAAAAGCATTTACAGGTTCCAGATACACGACCATCACTCCCTCAGTCTGGCTTCCAGACACACAATTACAAAATAACAACACCGTCTGCAAATGGTGCCCGGTTTAATTTAGTGCACAATATATGGGAGCCCACAGAGGCCACATAAAGTTAATACTCAATCGTAACCCCATCCAAAAACACGTTAAAATTGTGCAGCAGCAGGATTCCAGTCGAACCAGTGAACCAGTGGCGGTTTTGGACATCATCTTATATTAGATTTTAAATTTTTTTTCCCGACGCGCACGGCTACGGCAACGCGCGCACATACCAGAAACTGGAGACTGGGGGGGGGGGGGGGGGCGCCTAAGGTACAATAAAAAGACAAGTATCTTACCTCTGGTACAAGACGTGTGACCTGAAGATAAACTTGAAGAGGTTCTGCACAGCCTTGAGGGTACTGACTACAATTTCAGCCTTCTCTATCATGGAGTTATCAATGTAACGCTTCAGTTCTTTCACCAAAAACCTGGGGAAGACAAATAGTTACAAAATGTGAGGTGTTCTGGTAAAATGAGACAGAATGGGCCAAGGTCAAAATGAGAGTTGCAGGTATTAGGAAAGAGAACAAAACTCCCCTTACAATACTGTTTGTTGCACTTCAATCGGACATTCCGTTGACAAGCTATGGTGGTTTTAACTTTGCATTTATCAACACATCAAAAATAGTAAAATACTGAGAAAAAGGACTTTCACGTGTGAGTTTTGTTTCTGAGAAAATGAAAGATGCCAACAGGCGAATATTAGCGCAGAATTCCGTGATAAGAAAACCCTTTTCAGTCTTACATGTGAGCTTGCGTGCTGGCAAAGAAGTTCTCAATGTAGGTGTCCAAAACGGTGGTGAAAGACTTGAATCGCGTGTCGCCCAAGATGCCCAGGATGTAGACCAGGGCATCGAAGACGTCCCTCTCAAAGTCTGCGGCTCTCTCGTCCAGGATGTTGAACAGTGCATCCAAGATGTCTTGAAGAACCTGACAGACGGAACAAAAAAATAACGTTACTCTTTTTTCACGTGGGGCTACCGCAAACCTTACATCTTTAGACTTTCAAAAGACGTTCAAGTCTTATGTTGTATCTTGTTACTCTGGGCAGGCATCTCGCTTTTGGACAATTGTGGTAGGTTGCTGCCCTGGCACGGTTTCTAGGACGGAATAATCTACGGGGTAAGGGTAAATTAACAGTGGATGGCCTCTACCCACCTAAATCCTGAAGTCCTCAAAATATTCCTGCAGCCAATTTAAAGAAACAGTGCTCAACGTACGCCATGCGTAGGACTTACGCAACAAATTTCATGTGCAGCTGTGCAACAAACTTACGATCGATTTCATGGAAAACTTGGCGTAGCTGCGCAACGTTATAAAACATCTTGGACGAGGATAATAGCAGCATTTACGACAGCTGTTTGTATTGTTCGGTCATGAAATAGTTGTTGAATCACCTCTGCCCTCCGACTTCCTTCCGAATCGTGCATCGTGAATCAACTCTAAAAACTCAGTCATGAGTAAAATGACATTCATTACCTCAGAAACAAAGCTGTGAGTGTGTATCAACTTTGATAACTTGTGCAATGACAGGCTTCTAGACGATCACAATTTGCTAGCAAAATAGTTCATTTTGAGTCGCTATGCCATAACTTACAGCACCTAAATGACTGCGCAAGTAACAACGTAATTTGTTGGGCAATTTGCGGACTTAAGCACTATGAAGTTTTCGTGATATGTGCCATAAGTGAAATGTCGCACAGCGTTAAATGTTGCCCAACTTAGACGATAAATTGTGGAGCAAGTGAAGTTACGCCATTTTGCGTAAAGTTTCATGAAATTGGCTGCTGCTGGATTCTGAAAGAATTCGGGGGGTTTAGGGCTAAAGTCACACTACATTTATTTTTCAATGACTCACCCGTACAATCTCTTGACCTCCTACTTTGGTGATTCTATGCAGGGTCTCCTTAAGTCGCTGCGGATGGGCCTTCCATTTCAACAGATTCAAGAGAAACACTTAAAAGGGAAAGAAAAACAAAAGAAAAACATAAAGGGAAAACCACAGGTTAAGTCTGGGAGCACTAATCATCCATCTGACTTTTCATTTCTTTTTAGCTTCAAACCTACAACTAGTTAAATTTGCTTGTCACGCAATTTGCTCATTTCTAACAATAAAACTACACAAACTCCACCGAATTATGTTGAAAAAGCAACCTTTTACACTATTCAAGAAAACAGAGAGAAAACATGCGCAACCATTTGATTGCAAAACAGTCAATGGTCAATAGAACTCTATATTTCCAACGATCAGTCGATTGACTCATCGTTGGGCAGTTAAAAAACCTTCCTGCACAATCATGGAATGTCCAAATTTTATAAAATTTTATAATGTGTCTTGCACATTAAATATGTGCAAGACATCGGGTAGGGTTTGCATGAAGACAGTGCATTGTGCTGACATCAAGGGGGAATTGGGAAGAAATGTAGGGTCCATCAATGAAATATTTTCAGAATAATCCCAACTTACTATTTTAAAGCCGCCAATTTAAAGCAACTAGTTTACAGGTGCTATTTATGTCGAGGAGAGTGCTTTTTGTCAGAATCTTTGGCAACTAAAAAGATATTTGTCCTAAGAACACTTGACCAGGCAATTGGTGTTTTCCCAGCCAGGAGCTTCCAATTTCAAACAAGCGATAATGCCGCTGCTAATCTGACAATGAAGTCATCAACTTCTTGACATGAGGCAAGTTAATAAGGTAGGAATTAGCAACAGTTGAGGACAAGTTGGTGTGTTGTTTTTACAAAACAGATCAGACTGCCAACTGATGAATATACTGTAAATGGAAATTGACAGGTACGGTACCGGTAATGGCAATTTGCAGGAAATTGAGGTCAGCTCAAAAGGCATCCAAAGATTGCCTTCAGTGTAATATGAACGCGACACTCACAATGACAATATCAAAAAATAATGAATATCAAGGAGCTAATCAGAGACTGGCCAATCATCACTGACCTATGGTTACCGGTGTATACACACTTCCTCAAGTGCATGATAAGGACAAGCCACACCCATTTAGTTCTTTTCAAGACATAAAGCCTACAAAAATCTCTGGATGCAGTTTACCACTCATTTGCAATATGTGATGCTTTTCTGACTACATTCATTCCTATTACCTTCAAAGATTCAATGAAAAAATGACAGTTTTTGGTCAAAAATCAGTTCTGCTGTCTGTGTAATTCATACCCTGGAGTAAAATAAAAAATCCTACTGAAGGATTGAACCCGACCAAGCAAGATGAACATCAACATGAATTCAACAGGAACTAATGAAGAACTGTCTACATTCAATGCATCCACGACCCCAATGACTCAGAACAGAATTGAGTACAACTTCATCCGATGCATCCTGCTCGTCATAACGACCATCCTACTTCTGACCCTCAACCCGCTGTGTCTTGTGGTCCTGAGGCACGTCCGCAGCATCCAGGAAACAACCAAGATATTCCTCAGATCCATGACAGTTGCCGATCTTGGCATAGGACTCTTCCAAGCTCTACCGATGACTGTCCTTGCAATTTCCGAGACTGAGCACATCAGCGATGTGTTTTGCAGTGTGCTGTCGTTTGCCCAGTGCATTGCAATCTACAGTCCCCAGATATCACTCCTGCTGCTGACTGTGGATCGCTACATTTCAGTGGTGCACGCACTGCGCTACCCATCTCTTGTAACTGTGAAGCGGGCCAGAATTTCTGTCTGTTGTATGTGGGGATCCCTCCCCTTGATTGTTACTGCATACGGATTTATATCACATTGGAAAACTGAATACATCAAATCTATCCCAAGCTGTGTATTTCAGCTCAGCATAATAGGACAAATAGCCTATTCAAGTATATTAGTCATCACTCTGCTTGTTATTCTCATAGCATATGCACGACTGTTCATGATATCGCGACACCAAGCGAGAGCCATCCAAGTCGAAAACCAAATCGCTCAACCGGGCAACCCTGCTGCGAGGCCTGACAACAAGGCACTAAAAACAGTCCTCATTATTGTTTTGACTGCATCTGTTGCCAACCTCTTGCCACTCTTCAGTGTGTTTCTTTTCATACATGGTAAAGACCCAATAGTAATCCTGTTCACCTATGTGCTGCCTGTCCTGACAAACAGTTGGCTTAACGTGGTCATCTATTATCTCAGAAACCAAGATTTTCGTCGAGTGACCCATGATCTCCTGATATCTATCTACCAATCTTGTAAAAGCTGCATGCCATGTGCTGCAAACTGAACTGAGGGGTGTTCAAATAACTGTTGGCAGCTTTCGTAACATCATTTGGTGAAAAAAAAAAGATAAGCTACAGTGGAGGAATAAGAACATCTAAAAATCAATTGTCATATCAGTGACTGCCACTTTATATGTTACTTTCTATAAAAGAAAAGGAATTGCTATCTCACTCATGCTTAGTGGGTTATGTGTGCAATGTTCAACATGTATTACAGTATGCATACATTTGCAACTACCGATCCGAAACTTACACAACTTTCAATCTTTTCAATCCTTAAACAACTTCAACAATAAAGTTCATACAAATAGCCATCCTTAATCTATGATAATTAAGTTAAAACATGACAATAAAACTAACATTTGTACATACCTCTGGCAGAATAAAAATGATGGAAATGATAAGTGAATGTTCAGGCCTGACAGCTGAAACAATACACTTTTAAATTTCAGTTGGCCACTCCCCCAACAGCGCCCTCTGTTGTTCTGGCCAAAGTCATACAATTTTAATTTCATTCAAGAAAAGTTTTCTTAAAATGAGAAAGTATTTTTTTGTACAATGCATCAACAAAGAACACTTGGCAAGAATAATTTTCTTGAAGTGTAGCATTTTTTGAAGACAAGAATTGTTTTTATGAACAGGAAATATTTTCTTAAAATAAGAAAATAGATGGCAAATATGAGAAAAACACAGTTCGTAGTTCTTAAACAAATTTCTTATGTAAGTAATTTTCTTAAAATTAGAAAATTTTCTTGTAATGAGAATAATTTTGAGAAAAAAAATCGTAAAAAAAGATATAATTTCTTCAAGTATATTTTATTAAATATTTTAAGAAGTATTTTCTTGCCCATTTTCTTTTTTCTTACAAATTATCTTAAATCTAGAATATTTTTCTAATTTCAAGAAAAGTTTTCTTAAGTAAGAAAATATTTTTGGCAGTGAGGTCTCTCATTTCGGGAACAGCTATGGTTGAGAAGATCGTCTCCACACTAATGGGCGTCAGACTTGATCCCAACAGACTTAGGTCAGGCCCCGTGATGCCCCACCACAATATTCTCATTGCCCTTTGAATACAGTTTTCAACATGTACAAGTGATTCAGAAATGATAAACATATTTGAACATGTTGAAATGTTCAGCCAGCCACAGACATTAAATATTCGTTAATGATTTGGAAATAAAATTGAGGTCGCTCTGAGAGGTCTCTCATTTCGGGAACAGCCATGGTTGAGAAGATCATCTCCACGTTAATAGAGGCCTTTTCACATTGTCCAAAATCTCCGGGTTGGAACCGGTTCCAACCCCGAGATTTTTTTCAACCCTTTTCCCACTTCTAAAATTTCAACCCGGTTCCGACCCGGGTAGAGTGCTCTAGCCGGATCGAAATCAACCCTGGGAGGGACCAGGGTTGAAAATCTCAACCCGGATCGAAATTGCATTTTTCGGCGTGAACCGTGTCGAAAATGATAGTGTGAACCGCCCCCCGGGTTGAGTCACTCACGGCCGATCCGTGTTGAGTTGAGGCCAACATTTTACCGAAAATCTGACAAGCCGTGCATAATATTTCCCTCCACCACTATCGCCGTCACAAACACCGATCCCGAAACAATTGCTCCCTAATTATCATCCAATAATGTATCGGTGTATGGAGCATCCTTTACCGAGTCTGGGCTTGTATTAGGTCCGCAAAATGTACCCCAAAAATGTACATTTCTAATGTTAAATAGAACGAATCGTCTAACGAAATGACCGGAGCCATTTTGGAAATATTGCACACAGCTGCGCTGGTGTCGTACAAAAATCGGACTCCCAAATTGGATTCGTTTATACTCTCTTATTATTGGTCAAACCCTTTCCCGTGACAGGTCCTTCTCCTAATAGGCATGCGCAATACTACCAATGAGTCCGTATTTCACAGAGTAGTAAATTCACGCTGCACACCGGCCTGTCCGTAAGCCTCGTGCGCGCAGCAGCCGCGGGCGTCGCAATGCATTATGGGATTGAGAAAATCATCGCAGCGCCCTGTGTCGAGAATTTGTAGTGTGAATTCACAGGGGCCGTAGCCGGATTGAACGTTACACGGTTCACGTAGCGGCCGTTCCCGTAAAGGACAGTGTGAACGTCGCGTCTCTCCGATCCGTGTCGAAAAATACTCGGGCTGAACCGGGTTGGATCCGGGTAGGTTTCAACACGGTTTGAAACGGAGATAGTGTGAAAAGGCCTTAGGTGTCAGACTTGATCCCGAAGGTCCGAAGTCCCATTGGTCCGAAGTCCCATTGGCCCGACGTCCCATTGGTCCAAAGTCCCATTGGCCCGACGTCCCATTGGTCCGACGTCCCATTGGTCCGACATCCCATTGGTCCGACATCCCATTGGTCTGATGGCCCATGGCTCTATATGTTCCATTGTCCATACGTCCCATTGGTCCGACGTCCCATTGGTTCAACGTCCCATTGGTCTGAAGTCCCATTGGTCTGACGTCCCATTGGTCCGGCGTCCCATTGGTACAAAGCCATTGGTACAACGTCCCATTGGTCTGACGCCCCATAGGATAAGGGTTAGGGTTAGGGTCAGTCAACCTGAACCAATGTAACAACACAGTATTATGTTTCATCGGACCAATGGGATGTCGGACCAATGGGACGACAAAACAATGGAACGTCGGACCAATGGGAAGTCGGGCCAATGGTACGCCGGACTATCGAGACGTAACCATTACAAAGAAAGATTATGACATTCCAGCATGGTGAACCATTGAAGGAAAGTGCCCCCTGAGTACGTTTTGATTTTTGTTTTACCTTACATGTACTCAGCTACTAAAGTGCTTGGGGCAAAACATCAGGTCCTCTGAGGCTAATTGTTAAGCCATGTCAGAATCACTTATTTTGCGGCTGTGGCTTGCATTTTTTTCCATTGACAAACTATAAGGAAAAGAGGAAATACCATCAGACAGCTCTCCCCAGTTTGGTCATGGCCTTACTATTCTGGGTGAGCTTGATAAAGCAGATGATGGGGCAGACTGAAATACTGTCCATTCCTTCATTTTCCTGCTGTAGGTGTGGTTGCTGAACACCCCGCCTCATTTATTTAGGATTAACTGCTTTGACAACTCAATCTCATGTAATTAAAAATGTTATAAGTGTGATGATAAAGTATGATGATAGTTTGAAGTGTAATACTTACATTAGGTTAGCTGATTAAGAGCAATTTGACTAATCCCTATCACTTTGGAAGGCAGTTATTATTAAAATGCTTGTTCAGCCCATCACAGAAGTAAGTATTGAATTTGCAGTACTCATGAAATAAAAAGTTTCCGGAGCGTGCTGAAGTAGGTTTATGCCTCAGGGAAACTGTGAGAATGATGAAAAAAGTATTATGAATTACGGCCCATATGATGCCAACTTAAGCTTGTAAAATTGCTCAATTCAATACCGTATTTATATCCCTTAAAACATAAATTGGAAACAGTTTTAGATGAAAAAAAACCCCCAGTTTCTGGCAGTAATTGGTGTATGAGCTACCACAGGGCAAACCATCAACACAGATTTTGAACTGACAAATGTACATGTAACTGGGTGATCGATTTTCTTTTTTCTTCATTTTCCCTCTTATTTTTCCTATTTAAGGTTAGCACCTATGCTAGATACTTATTATAATTCTAGGGTCAGAAAACAGCAGGTTGTTTGTTATATCAAAGAACTAGATTCTGAACAAACATTTGGCAATAAAAAGGGAACGGTCCTAAAAACAAATTGAACGGGCACTTGATGTTTTCCACCTCAAGAGCTTCCAGTTTTGAACACGCAATAATGCCGCTGCTCATCTGACATTTAATAAGCAACAGTTGAGGAC